ATTTCATAGAATACCTAGCTATTCCTTGAAATAACTGATCGTGTCCGTTAAAGTGTGTAATATGTAATTAATTTGACACTTTAACTAGTTATTCTATGAAATAACTAGGTATTCTATAAATTAACTAATGAGAGACAGTTAAAGTGTAAGATAAACAATTTATCTAAAATGAAATACCTAGATATTCTATAAATAAACTAATGATAGACAATTAAAATGAAAAAGAAGCAATTTATCTAATTTATGCAGCGTATAAATAGTATTTATGGAAATGTACCATAAAATCATTTGTTACAACAAGGATTACTAAAATGACACTTGGAATTACAAAGAACATTATTTCTAAAACAAAATCATTTTTTGCTGACACACTGGGTTTTACACGAACATTTTTTAAATCTCTGACCAATACCTAAACTTTGAGCTGTAGCAACTGACCGGAGCGATATTTCCATATCCGGTACTTCTTCGATTTTAATTCATTTTTGCTCGCTGAACTGGAATCGAGAATATAATTGTTTTATGCGGCCGTTTCTTGTGCCCAAGTGGAAAAATCCTTCTTCGGTTATTTTTATGATGATAGCTAAAATAGATAAATGCAGTAGGGATGGAAGGTAAATGTATTTGTCATGCGAGATATATGATATAGATTATTTTACACTTTAACGGGCTGCAGATCGTTATTCTATGAAATAACTAGTTAAACCATGAAATACAAGAGAGTTTTACACTTTAACTGACATGATCAGTTATTTCATGGAATAACTAGGTATTCAATAAAATAACGGATTTCATACTTTAACGGTAACATATATATTATTTGAGAATAAAGATTTCTAATGAATAACATATCATTTTGGAGTTCTCCAGATTTATAAATCAGGTAAGTGTTATGATTTTTATAATAAAAAATTTACTTGTAAAATTTTTTTTTTCTAATTTGACGTTAGTTCTTAATAGAATGGTTTTCTACGTCCGCTTAAGAATAAAAAAAGACATGAAAGATTTTTTATTTTAATTTGAGAAATTTTTAGAATTGTTTTTTTTCTTAGGCATTTTTTATTTTGCTGTTTTTTAGTTTTTAAATAATGATTTTTATTGAAACTTAAAATTTTTTGATAAAAATTGTTGTCAAAAAACTTTTTTCGCAAAACTAAATGATAAAAAATTATGGGCTTATGTATACTTTTTGAAGTAATATGATACATAAAACTTTGGAAAATAAAGTTTAAATTGGCCTTTCATGTTATATCATTAAATTTAGTAAAATGATTTCCCTGACATTATGTTTTAACTCTAATAAGAAGATACATATTTTTTTTTCTGTTTATTTGCAACTATTTTCCCGATGTGCTTTGGATGCTCCTTCTCTAAAAAAAGAGATACCATTTTGTTTTCGTTTACATAAGAAATAATATTAAAGATTTTTCTTTCTTAAATTTAATAAGCCACAATAAAGAAAGAACGTTACAATGCTACTCGCTGCATTAAAAACGTCTCCAGAGCAACTGAATGACTGTTCATATGGAAATCGCATGAATTTGTCTCATACAATAACGCCCTCTATAGTTCGTTGCAATCGCGAATTTAAAAAAAACTTGTGTAAAAAATTTATGATTATGTATTACACTATGTGAAAGTATTTATAATGCATCATAATGTGAAGAGGAACTCGAAAACAAGTTTCATCTGAAGACTGTGTACAGAGTTGTGCATGGATGGCAAAAATATTATGACATTAAAGATAAGGCGTAATTTAATTTTTCCGCATAAATTTTAAGTACGTTGCGACTGTATACGGAATAAACATCGAACTGCTTGTGTGACTTCAGCATTGCTTAAAATTTTCATTGCCTTCATCCAAGATTCTTCTTCTCAGGTGGAAATGGACGAAAGTCACTGGATGAGAAATTAGGAATATATGGCGGATGGACAAAAGGTACCTTGACCCAAGAGTTGCAATATGATTTTGTCATGCCATCGTCGATTGTCACGTTGTCATCCAACAACAGAGCGCCGAATGTGAATGTCAGACCTCTTTTTCGGTATAGCTTTCCTTAATTTTGAGTGTCTGAAAAAAGACCGCATAGCATTGATGGTCCCGACATCCAAAAAGTCCAGAAACAAAACTCTGGGGCCAGATTGAATGGCTCAGGCACTGCGATAGTGTCATTGGCTTGATCATGGTTAAAAGATGCCTATTGGTATCTGAGCCTCTTTCACTCTCAACCAGTGTCTTGTTCACTTCATTGCTGTTTAATTTTCCGCGGCAAACGTTTTTGGATAAAATTATTTTCAGATTCCCCCCTCGTATATAGTTGAAAATTACAAACATTTTGCTGACTTGAAAGATCTTGTAAAGCTCATAGCAAAAGAATATGCATCTGATCTCTTGGTTATAATTAATTGTCAAAATATTAATTGTCTTTAAGTAATCTCACTGAACAGAAAGTCGTTATACTCGTTGTTCTAGTTTAATATGGCTGCTCCTGGAATGGCATGGCATACAAACTTTTGCACTGTGGTGTGTTTCTTTGAAGTTTAATAAAGATATCTGTTTCGTTGGAATTTTTAAAGAGAATTCATAAGTTGTTCCAATTAAGAATCATCCAAGGATCTGACTTCATGAAGATTCTGGCTACATAAAGAGTTCAACAGAGTCTTCGGAAGTAATTCCTATTTCAGTTTAATTTTCTTGACTTGATGATCTCAAGATTAATTTCTTCATCACCACAACTCCGTCTTGATTTATAAATATGCTTAGATTTTCTTCTATTCAACTTGTCAAATGTGATCAAGTATTAAAAGATGTTTGCAAACAAATGTTTGAACAAATGTTTTTTTTAGGAACTTTACATTTGGGAACATTAGCAAGCATTTTAAAGCAGAAATCATTAAGATTAAATTCTTGGAAACAAAAGTAACCTTAATATTTCCGCTAAAATTGAAGAGCAGAAAACGAAATGCATATTCTATGCTTGTGCTTGATTATAAATAACCCAGTTATTTTTATATTTATGCTTGTTTGTAAAAATGTCTAGGTAGTTGCAAAACATGTAGCTATGTTTAGCTTTGATTGAAGGGATCTGGATATTTTAAAAGCTTTTTAAAGCAATATTGCAATGCCATTTTCATCCTTATTTCGAACAGTAAAACTAGTGAAAATCGAAGGTTTAAACTGATGAATGTTCTCTTATATCAGAATATTCATTTTTCAATAAATATAAATGTCAAAAATTTATTAGTTAACCTCAATGTGTTGATTTTTAATGCAAAATGTTAGCATTTAAAATAACGAATAGCTCAACGAATAGTTGATATATATTAGATAAATCCAAAATTCTGAAAACTATACTAGTTTATTAGTTTCAATACATAAATATAAGGGATGCTCCAAGTTTTTAAAATCGAAAAAAATAGTTTAGAATTTTGTATCACTTTTCTACTAACAATCAATAATGGTATGAAAAGATTAGAGATAATGTGATGTTGTTAATAACGGGAACATGTTTAGAATTTGTTTTTCATTGATTTAAAATATTTGTTTTTAATTTTACATATCCAATTAAGAGTTTGCAATTGTACAATGTAATTCTGAAAGAATGTTGCAAAAAGAACTAAATTTCACTTATTAATTTTAATAAATTACATTTGAATTATATTTTATTTCAGTTATATTTTCCTTCAGTCATATTTTATTTCAATTCTATCATATTTGATTAAAATTACATTTGAATTAAATTTATTATATTTGAATTATGCTATATTTGAATTAGAATCATATTATACATTATATTTGAATTAGTATCATATTATATGTTACATTTTAAATTACTTTGCATCGAAAATTTTAATTATATTACATTATATTCAATTTTAAGCTATTTAATATGTGAATTTAACTTTTTTTTTTTAAAATTACATTAATTTTAATTCTATAATTTTTGAACTCATATTATATTATTTTTTGTTTTTAATTGTATCATATTTGGAAAATATTATCTATAATCTAACACAAATTATTGTTTATAAATATAGTTATTTTCATGAATCGGTATAAAATAGGAGTAAGTTTTAAATCATGTATATGAATGAAAATTTATCGCTATTGATTAATCTGCTTTAGTCATATTGCTACATTAAAGATATTGCCTAACTATTTTTAAAAAAAATAAGAAACTCGTATAATTCAAGTAGAGTTTTTAGTTTCTTTTTCATCAATAAATTATTTCTTTGTTATGTTTATGAATAGTAGTATTTAATTATTTCCTTACTTAAATACCTAATCTGAGTAAAAAATCGAACAGTTAGGAAGTCTTATGCAAAATGAATAAGTTACTTGTTGTAATTATTGTAACATTCATTGCTAGTTCTATTAATTAACAGTGCTATTTAGTCTTGATCTGAATTATTAATCTGAGAAAAAAATTATTCTATTTGTAAAAGTTCTATTTATGAATAGTTATATTTATAGCATTAATTATAATTTGTGTTTATGAACAGTAATATTTGGCTATTTTCTTTATTTACATAATTGTATGAGCAAAAAATAGTTTAAAGTTGTTATGGAATCCGATTTAAAATATTAATATTCTGCCTGCTATACTAATGAACAGTTATATTTACAGTTACATTATTCTATTCTTTATTTACTCTATTCTTTATTTATTCTATTCTTTATTTATTCTATTCTTTATTTATTCTATTCTTTATTTATTCTATTCNTATATTTTAGGCAAAGAATTATTGAGACCTGTTATGGAATCCTATTTAAAATATTAGCATTCAGCATGCTATACTTCACAGTTATATTTGCGAACAGTAATATTGGGTTATTTTCTTCCTTTATTTTTATTTACTCTATTCTTTAGTTATTCTATTCATTCGAGCAAAACATCAATCAGAGATGTTTTGAAACTCTGAGAAAAATTCATTAGTTATTTGGAATTCGTGCGTAAATCGAAATAAATCAATTAAAAAATAAATCCCAAGACATTAAATTAAAAAAATATTGTTACTTTATTGATCAATAAAATAATAATAAAAACGTAGCTACGTATATGTACAGGGTATGTATTAGCGCATATGATGACTGTAGGAGACGCTGACAAGGATGAGGTACAGGTAAAAATTGAAAAAACGAAATTATTTACAGTTTTTTTTTGTGACATTTGGTGAGAGACGATTCTTCTCCATTCGAATGGAAACCAACCTCTGCCACCGCAAACTAATAGTGAGCTAGAATTTCAGGTGATAGATTACCAGTAAGCTTCTCCACCTCCATATCCACCATGTCCTCCTTGGTATGGGTCATGATGGATCAGTTGAGCATGGGCAGATGCACTGTGGCTGTGGACACTGTTGGTGGAAAAAAAATATTGGTATTATTATTAAATGAGTGAAATGAAAAAAATAAGTATACTGTGCAACACTAATATTTTTTAATATAAAATTAACCAACCCTTAACGAGGGATTACTTTAGACTACATTTTTGTCTTATTATTACTAAATGAGTGAAAGGTAAGAAATGAGTGTAATGTGTTTTACAACACAAATTTTTTTTAATAATAATTTTAATATGAAATATATTAATCCTTAACAAAGGTTTATTTCAGATTGCACTTTTATCTTATTATTATTAAATGAATGAAATGAAAGAAAAGAGTATACAACACCAATATTTTTTTTAATATAAAATTTACCAACCCTTAACGAAATAATATTTTAGATTACATTTTTATTTTATTATTATTAAATGAGTGAAAGGTAAGAAATGAGTGTTATGTGTTTTACAACGCAAATTTTTTTAAATAATAATTTTAATATAAAATATATTAATCCTTAACTGGAGTATATTTTAGATTGCACTTCAACTCATTATTATTAAATGATTGAAAGGGAAGAAAAGAGTGTACAACACCAATATTTTTTTTAAATATAAAATTTACCAATCCTTAACGAAGGAGTATTTTAGACCACATTTTTATCTTATTATTATTAAATGAGTAAAGGGTAAGAAATGAGTGAAATGTGTTTTACAACACTAATTGTCTTAATAATAATTTTAATATGAAATTTATTAATCCTTAACGAGGAAATATTTTAGACTGCATTTTTATCTTATTATTATTAAATGAGTGAAAGGTTAGAAATGAGTGTACTGTGTTTTACAACAGAAACTCTTTTAATAATAATTTTAATATGGAATATATTAATCCTTAAAGAGGGTATACTTTGGACAGAACTTTTATCTTTTTATTATTAAATGAGTGAAAGGTTGGAAATGAGTGTAATGTGTTTTACAACACTAATTCTTTAAATATAAAATGTAATAACCTTTAACGCGGGAATATTTTTATTATTACTTCTATACTTATTATTACTACTATATTATTATTACTATTGTTTCTATATTGGCCAATTTTAAATAAGAAAAAGCGTGAAGTGATATTTATCTGTTAAATTTAGATGTTTGCAAAGTAACCAATACACTGTAATAAAAACGACTGAAATTCTATGAATACATTCTGGATTTTTTCAAAATTGTGAAAGAAAAAATTTGATTTCGCAAATATTTTCATAAACTGTCAAATTATCTAGTAGGTTTCATTTTTTGTACTTAATATAATAGCGACATTTAAACGTTGAGATTTGATTCTAAATTTAATAAACTTGAATTATTATGATTTCGACGAAGCGCAGAGGATAGCTACAAAAAAGAAACTAATTTAATGTTTTGCAAAAATAATGTGTATAAGATTCAATTTTCTTCTTCTTCATTTAACTGACTGCCCTTTGGAATCCAAAGCCTTCTTAAGAATCTTCTTCCATTATGTTCTCGTATTGCAATTGGTTAAAAACCTCATCAATGCAGTCAAACCACATAAGTTTGGGCCTGCCTTTAATTCGAAGATGAATTGGTTTAAAATTGATTCCTGAATTAGAGGCAGTTAATTGAGAATTGTTAACTGAATTAGAGGCAGCAGAATTTTAATTATTTAAAATTAGTTTAAACTATAAGGTGGGAAAAAGATGATGATACTTACGGGTATTTAACGTGGCTGTCTTTTCCCAATTTGATTGGGAATGGAAGAGGCAATGGGATTGGCACAAATCTAGGCTTGATGGCTTTGGCGATCAAGTAAGCAGCCAAAAGTTTCTTGTATCTCAATCCACCGCCAGCAGCTACAAAGGGTGGGAAAATCGTAGATCCAAGCAACACTACGGTTAAGGCTAAGCACAGAAATTTACAACTGGCCATCTTAATCTGAAAAGACAAAAGGGCATTTAACATCGACGGTAAACAAGAAAATTATGAAAAAAATATAACTTAATGAGGAAAAATTTGTAGATGTCATGAAAGGTGTTAATGATATATAGTGAGATTGTATTACAATTTGCTTTTTTCCTGCTTGGTCATATTGTGTCGATTGAGCTATAAAATTGATAGTAGCTCATAAAGATTTGCACAAATATATTATACTATATATTAAGAGTAGAAGTTTATATATTATACATTAGAAATTAAACAATAAAAAATAATTAAGTACTTATAGATATTAATCTGAAAGAAAATAGCCATGCTTCACACATTAGAAGTTATAAGAGTTATTGGAGAAGTTATTAGTTTTTTGTATTACATACATGAGTACATAATACAAAATTGCTCATAATCGGAAAACTTCTATATTCTCTAATTACGAAATAAACGAAAGTACTCCATTAATAATTGAATGTGTTGACAGTATTAAATTATTAAAGTTCTGCAATTAAAATAAATTCAAATAAATATTAATAGAATAGAACAAAACAGTAAATTTTTAATAAAATTTAAAAAAAACTAGATTTTACAATAATGCAGCGCCTATGAAGAAGTAATGCTTTTTTTTTGGACATTAAAATTTATATTTCGTTTAGTTCGCCTTGAAAGCTGCCAAACCACCAATCATTTATTAATTTATCCATTTATAAATCATTTCCATTATTTTATCCATTTATTAATTTATTTAATCATCTATTAATTAGTGTTTGAAAGCTATTATTACATAAGTTAATTGTTTATATTTAAAGGAAAAAAAACAATAATCGTAAAATAATTAAGGTTTGTCAAAAGGGTTTCATCCTTCTCTGCAAGAAATAGCATTTTTTTTCTAGAGTGTTTTTTTAACCACATTTCATAACTGCGAACTATTATTTAAAAATACTTAATATACTAATTTCATTTAAGGAATTTTCATTTTAATTTATTAACTTTTATTAAGTTTGGTTGGGTGGTAATTTCGTTTTTTCGTAAGAAATAATTAAACCAGTTTTTAATATTTTTCTTTCGTAAAAGGGCAATAGTCTTTAAATTAAACTTGAAAGTAGATCAAAGCAATTTGCGATTGCTTTAGGGTCAAGAGTTAGTCAAATCTGTTCAAAAGAAAAATTTCGAATAATTGTCTCAAAACCTATTTTCTGATTAAACTAGTTTTTAAAAGTCTATATATTTGTTAAAATAATATATATTTATAGCTTTATCAGTATACGTTCCATTAAAAACATTATTCCATTAAAAGAAGTAAATGGAAGGATTATTTTATTTGAATAAGTTAAAATATCTATTACAAGACGTTTTTTTAATATTTTTAGATTACCACTATGTGAATTTATTATTGTATATAATAATATATATTTTCAAACGAAGGAAAGAAAATTAAATTTCTGCAAAAATAATTACTAGTTTTAAGCATTTATAAAATTTTTATTGTTTTAATTTTCATAGTAGGTCTTGGCCCTCTATGGGCTGTCAAGTCACTGAATTTAGTCTTTTTAATTTTTATGTTACAAAAGTTTAATTGTTTAACAATTTTTATGCGTTTAATAAAAATGTAATACTAATTGTAATTAAAGTTAGTAAAATTAAAGTTTTTGCACTAATTTTTTAATTTAACACATTAACTTGCTGAAGTTAAACGTAAGTATACGTTAACTTTTTATTTATGATAGTATTTTGACATAACACTTACTTGTAAATTCTTTAAAAGTAATTATAGAAAAGTAATAAATTGTATCAAATTTATTTACAATTTAGAATGTAAAATAAATTGATTCATAATAATCTATAAGGCGAAAGCAAATACTAGCAACAGGGAATTAAAAATAAAATATGCCTTAATAATTTATAAGTCGACACCAAAAATTTATAATTAAAAATTTAAAACAATTCATGTCGTAATAATCAATAGGACGACGCCAAAGCTTGAAACCAGACAGCACAGTTACGCCACAACTGGTTCTACGCCTTAAGTGTTCCTTTCCCTTTCTATTGGAAGATCTAGAACAAAGATCTTTTTTTTTTTCTAAAGATATCTTCTGGACAAGGAAAGTAAAAGTTATTTTTTTAGGTCGGATGATGGTGTTTTACTTCCTCCATCTTTATAACACTCTCTCTTTCGTTTTTAGGATATTTTTACTTCTTCCTTTTAAATCCTTATCACGACGNAAGAATTACTTCCTAAGGAAGTCATGTATTGTGATAATAAAATGAAATAAACAAGTTTTTCTGTTTGGTGTTTAATTAGCGTAATTGGAGTGAGGATTAATTGCTGGTTATTTTTATGACGGTTTACAATTAGCTTTTCTAATATTTTTTTCCCTTAACTCTGAAACAGTCATTAGTTGTCAAAATAAACGATATAAACGAAATAAATGACACGTTGTTAGTAATTAGTTCATTTTGAGACAGTTTTATGTACCGAATTGGAAAGTTTAATTGCGATTCTTTCAACTGTTTATTTAAATTTTCCTGCAAGATCTTAATATAAATGATAGCATTATTTTCCCTCGAAAGTTACAGACATTAATACTAATTGTAAAATTTAGTGGAAGTGCACGTTAAGTAACATTTTGATATCACTCAAACATCCATCTATATGAGCAAAAATTTATACTGCCCAGTATGAGAAATTTGAATGTAAAAATATGTTATGTCAACAGTTTCCTGATAATTTTTTACATTCTAAAGATGGTTTTCCCAAATTCAAAGAAATGTCACTCAACATGCTTTTGCTCTAAGCTCTTTAGTTATTATTTAGTTAATAACTTGTTATAAAGCAAAAGGGAGGAATTTGTTTTAATTTCATTTTGAAACCACATAAATATCTTTATATCAGAAAGTGTTATGGTCGGCTGTGAGTAAGGAACAAAAATTTATTTAGCCGACAATGAGAATTTTAATGCAAAAGAAATTATTTTTAACAACTTTCTAATATATTTATATGTTTTTAAGAGGATTTTTCCCGAATTCAATAAAATATCATTAAACATGCTTTTCTGCTAAACTCTTCAGTTTTTGTTAATGGCTAATTGTAAAGCTTAGTGGAAAAAAATGTTACGGGGCATTTTGTAAACTCGTTGTTTAAAAATGTTGGGGCACCATAAATATTGAACTAAAATTAATAAAAGGCATTTCATTGGAAAAAAAAGCATTTTTCTAACAGTTTGTTAATTATGACTCTAAAGCTTTTAATTATCAAAATATGTTCCTCTACTAAGTTCGTCAGTTATTATTTATTCATACTTCATGTTTAGCTTTATACGTTATAATGTTGTAGTCATTAATTTGAACAATATTTAAGATAATTTCCAGCATTTATATATACAATATTTATGTTGATTTTCCTTACATAAAGACAATAAACACTTGAATTTTACTCAAAAAAAATGTTGAATTTTAATGGCATTTTAAACTTTTCCCAGAAAACTATAGAATTCCGCTCTTTATTATCGAGCTTTTCATACCTTTTTAGAAAAATCAGTTAAAAAATAATTTAGTCAAATTGAAATTGAGTATAAAGCGAGAAAATCTTTGTGGTTAGTCAAACGGCTTCTAAGTTAATAGCGAGAGATTTATTTATTTTACAAAATTAAAAGGAAGTTTTTGCTGCGCATACTTTTTAACTATTATGTCATTAATATTAATATTTCTTTCTTTCTTTATTTGAAAAAATATTAAATATATTAAATTTAGAAAAATAGAAGATAAAATCGTTTTGAGAATGACACCGAAATGATGTGATAAGAGCCACTAGGGTAAAAATGATAATAAACATTTACATAATTAATTTAATTAAATTAATTAATAACACATAATTAAATTAATTAAGTAGATATTTTACAGTGTTAACTACCAAATATTATTTTTAACGCACACACAATTCTTTGATTATTAATCTATATTAGGAACGGTAAATTATTGAAATATTACTTTGAATATAAAACTAAGAATGGAATAACTGTGCTATTTTTGATAACTTTGACTGTTTTTGATCACTTTGCAATGCTTAGAGCTAACGAGTTAACCAATTATATATTTTTATACGTATAGTTCAAGTGCTATATTAGTTTAAAAAAAAGAAGTGATTACAAATTTAAAAGATTTTTTGAAAAAAAATTCTTTAAATTTATAAACAATCCATAATAATGGCCATAAACTATTTAAGGAAAATTTTAGCGAAGACATGGGCAAATGCATTAATAAAACAAACAAAATATGCATGCATTAAGTCAACTGTAACAAATAATAGCGATTAACACCATCAAAATGAGCGGCAAGCAATTTAATTGAAGCGAATAAAGTAAAAAAAAAAAACATTTTATTTTCAAGGCAAGTGAAAGAGGTAATTGAACGATTGCATAACTAAACAGCTCAAGTTCATGTTCAACTACAAATGCCGTTCCGGATGAATCATTTTACGCAACATTTGGAAAGCTGTTCGCATTTAATTGCTAATCGTCCTTTAATGCGTTCTATTCTTTTTCATAAATTCAGAAAATTTAATGTTTTATGCAGAATATATAAATTGAATTAACATATACTTAAAACCATTTTTTATGATTTGAAATTTACTATAAATATTCAGGACTTAAGCAATTTACAATGCTGTATTTAGTATTTTATTCCAGTTTTTGCAAATTATCCTACAGTGAAATAATTCTTATTACAATTAAATACTATATTATGTGATTGTTTTAAAATAATTTTAAGTAAATTACATTATTAGAATTTACATGAGTTATGAGTTATGAAACTATTTTAAACCTAATATTTCATTAAATCTTTAAAGATTACTTTTTAGTGTTTTATAGTACTAAAATTATTTTTATTATATTTTCCTTTATAGTTAGAATTCATCTATGCATACTTTTTGTTTAATATGCTTTTTTTAGGTCGATATACTACTGAATATTATTTTTACTATGCTTTCCTTTAAGTTCGGATTCATATATACTTTTAGTTTGAAGTAGGTTGGAGAATTTTATTTAAGTCTTAAATCCTTGTAAAAAGATTTTTTTTAAAGCAAAAAATGAGCTTTTCTACTTTTATTTAAGAGATCAAGTAAATTTTTGCAATTAAAATTTTAGAAAATATTCGTTTTAAAGTTGACTTTTTTAATTCAGTTTCTTTAAATTTTTTTAACGCAATCATGAAGCTTTAGTTGAAATTTAAAGCAGTAAATATTATTAAAATTGATTAATTTTAGACGAAGCAAATAACCTTTTATTCGCTTGAAACATTGCAGTCTTAAACAAAACTGATTGATTTGAAACCGTTTTTTGTCCTCACAATCGATTTTTGCTTTTTTAATTTCAGCAAATGCTGCTAACTGACTTAAACCATAGGGTTTAAAGCGAGCCAGACAAAATTCAAATAATAAAGAAAAATTGCAGCTTTATCCGAAAGGCAAATGTTGCAGCACTAGCCAAAATAGTTTGGCAAATATTGCAGAACGAGCAACACTATTAAGATATTATTGGTTTCACTATTAATCGAACGAATTATCCAAAGTGTATTTTTCTTAATCCATGGGTTGTTGTAGGTATGCAAGCGTTCAGGTATATCCACAAGTTTCATCTTACCTTTAATGAGTGAGTAGATCCTAAGACCACTTAAAACTTCTTAAAGGGTGTGAAGTAGTAGGTGAGTTTGATGCCTGTATCAGCGGCGCACGCCCTTTTATATAAAACTACAAATGGCCCATGGGTTTTCCTTTAAATCTCAGATGGCCCAATTGAGATCCTGTAGCGCCACACCTCCCCCGCGGACAAATGTAAAAAAAATCCCTCTGCGTGCGGCAGCTATAATTGTTTACATCACAAAATGGCCATTTCCTTTGTTTTGTTAAAGAGACGGTTGAGATTTTTTCGATCTTGTTAATCTGTTGCAGGGAGGAAAGGAAGCTAAATTAGGAAGGCTCGGCACGTCCAATTAGATCGCTTCGAACATGCCCGAGGCTATTGTCCATCCGCTGCCCCAGAATGGTCTGCATACCACTTTCTCTCGCCATTATTCTTACCTGTGAGATATTTTTAAGAATTCTATTAGGCGAGCACGTGGGGACACTTTCACTTTGGTCGACGCCCACGGTGTTCCTACTGGGATACCTATGTAGAATATTTATGTCGCTATCGTTTGCATCTTTGGAATAAAAGAAAGAGGACAAGCTGCGAAACATTATGGAATTCGTCTCGGCTAATATTAGTATCAGTTGACAATAAGAATATTAAATTTTTTTTTCTTTCGCGTTCATGATAAGAATTACTTCCTAAACTTCCGTTTATGTTGTCACTTTGCTCAGAGTGGATAACGCACAAACGTTTTCCTTGGTACACTCTAATCTGCAACACATTTTGAGGGTGCTTTAAACATTTTAGGTACCCAAGAGTATTAAGGTATTATAGATATTTTAGTTATTCCAGATATCTAAGTTACTTTAGTTATCTAAATTATCGTTAGTTATTTTTGACATCTAAGTTATCTCTTACAATTTCAAATAAGTTATCTTTAGACAATTTAAATAAGTTATCTTTTGTTTTCAATATCTAAGTTACTTAATTGTTTTTTATTATCTAAGTTAAACATTCCAGACTTAAAAGTTTTATTTCTAATCATTTTAACAGCGTAAGATATTTTGAATGAATTTAAAAGAAAAAAAATAACAATATTTCAAAAATAAAAGATATAAATGTTAGTGATAAAATAAAAAATAAATTAAAGATATAATGAATTTAAAAGAAAAAATAACAATATTTCAAAAATAAAACATATAAATGTTAGTGAATAGAATTGTATTTAAGAACGAATATATCGTTCAAATTTAGGTAAAAAAGGGGAAAAAATACAGATTTCTTTTTTAACATGATATTTAAAAAAAGCAAAATTCATTTCGTATTAATAAAGTGAAAGTAAACTATTTGAAATTAAAGAACAGATTACGTATTTTCAAATGATAAGAGTATCTCATAAAGATGTATCTCATTAAATTTAACTCAACTAAATATATTATAAAAATACTATTATAAAAATATTTTTTCAGACTTTTATTTTTTACAACGCAAAATTTACATAACGATTTTGTCATGATAATTTAAGTTACACGTAATTATAATTAAATAAAGATTATATTATGGAATCAACACTTAAAAGCTTTCTTTTTCGTTTTATTTACTTATTTCGTCAGCATTTTTACTCATTTTTTGCTATTTTTTAAAAATTTTTACTTATTCATTATTTATTATTTATTTAATTATAAAAGTTCATTGTTCATACATTTTTATTTATTTACTTAATTTTTTTTGCCTTTATTTATTTATTTATTATTATTATTATTATTTTAGTAGATGGTGTACAACTAAAAACTTTTATTAATCATAATTTGATTCAAAATACTTAACAACAGTGACAAGCTTTTCTTTGTTGTTCCTTTTCCTGTTTCTTAAAAAGTGGTCTGAAGATTTTTTGTTGCGAACAATGTCACAATGATAAATAGAGTTAACTTATTTAAATAAGGCCTCTATATTCTGGTGAAAGCAGATATATGCGTTCTTTATATGATTCTCTTATTAATTTTATGTTTTGTATTTGATAAAGCTTGTGTACTCCAGCACATTCTATTCTTTAAGTATAAACCGAGTATATGACCATTTTTAGATTAAATTGATATTTTTTAGAACTTCATTTTACTTTAAAATATTCGGAAACATCTAAAGTGGAATATTAAAAAAACATTTAAAAGTATACATTTTGTTATTTTATGATTAAAACTTTACTTAATTATCTTTTATTTTTATTAGTTTAGGTATTCGGTTAGGTACGTACGAAAAAAGGTTTTAACTCTATGTTTAGATTTAAAATTAATTCCTTTTCTTCTTTATTCAAAAGGAATTCAAATTAAAATTAGAAAAATGTCTGATATGAATTTTTCTAGATTAATTCATAGATAAAAATAGATTCTCTTATTAATTTTAAGACGTAGAAATCTTTCTTTCACAAAGGGACATAAAAAGTCAAGATCCCAATTAAAAATTATTTTCTGAAGTTAATGGGTAATAATTCCTGGAAATATGTTCATTAAAAGAATCCCCAAAATTCCCTATAGTTTGCCTAGAATCATCTGTTAAAACGAATCAAGATTGTTATAAAGCTATTTTTAAAAATTATTTTTTAAAAGCAGTTGAAAAAAAATAGTAGAAAAATAGGGAAAGCATATAATCTTGTCATCAGTTCAAAAGATTATATCAATAAAACGTGATACGACTATATCACGATAATAATACGTTTCTGCATTGCATTAATATAGCAGAAGCAAAATAGTATATCAATGCATTAGAGGGAAGAGGACCAGAAAAAAAAGAGAAGAGAGAAACTGATTCAAAAATTAAACATTATCACATAAACATTATCGCATAAGTCGTAAAAGTTTAGGAAAAGTAAAAAAATGGAAACATATCGGAACATATTGTGTTTCGGTGATTTTTGCTTGAAAATGTTAAAATTTTCTAATCGGTTTTCTTTCTTCTTTTTTTTTTAGTTGTCTTTTCACTATTTTTTTGTTGATATATTTTAATACTTATCTTTGGCAACATTAACACAATGTTAGAAGGCACTATTTTTGAGGATTTAATCGTATAAGCTGATGACAAAATAATATCCTTTCATTTTTTCTCTTTTCTTAATTATTTTTTTAAAAAAATATTACTTTTCTTTAAAATTTTAAGTACATAATTATATACATATTATTTTTATTATGGAACAAAATTTTTTTTTCTTCGCTTTAATTTTTCTCTCCTTTTTTCGTATTTTTATCTAATATTATAGGTATCTTAGCTTCTCTTGTTCATATATATATACATATATACATATTATAAAATATGGAAATTGTGCAAATCCGTTTAAAAAAGAACTATTTTTCAATATCTCACACTCACTCTGTCGTAAACGTCTTATGAGAACAAAAAAAATGATTAGTTAATATACTTAAACTGCAAAACTACTGCAAAATATACATTAAATTCATTCACACATTTTTTTATTAGTTACTTAACTACATAAATTTTGTTTTGTAATTTATAAATGAAAAGGTAACTTATTGATTATTCATTCATTAATCTCGACTTATGATTAGTATAAATTTTATTTATTTTTTTTTTCAATTATTTCGCTAAACTTAGACTCAAAAACGATTATGATAAATTAGGCTTTTATATTGAGTAATAATTTAAATAATATAGATTGGAGTAATATTTTTGTTTACATACATTATAAATATTTCTTATAATAATTTTCATACGATCAATAAATTTTTTTTCTTCTCTTCTTAACCTATATGTCTCAACTTTTAGCTGAAAGGAGTGGGAATCAAGTAAGTTTCTCCGATCCCAACTTCCACTCCAAAGCCCTGGTTTCAATTTTTTCAAAATTTTGTACAATGAAGTTGAATCATTTTATCTTGAAATTCATTATGGTTCAACTTTATAGAAAACATAGTTTAGAAAACATAGTTAGATTGTAGCGAATTTGAACCGTATCATGGTTCAAGGAATAGGTAATGTGGCTCAAATTTGAACCAGTTTTTTTTCCGGAACCAGTTTGAGCTGAAAGAAGTGTTTTTTTTTTTTAAAAAATCTTTTCTCCATGAATATTGCGGTTTAATGAATAAAAGAAAAAAGGATTCCTACAATATTACTGAGTTTAACACCTTATTAAGACTGTAGCATATTTGAATCGTATTCTGGTTCTAAACTGAACCTGTTTTTCTTACAGTGCAATGTGTAAGATTTTTCTTTCTTTTTCTTCATGAATTTTCCAGTTTAAAGAAAAGTCTTCAAATGGAATTGGTGGGATTAGGGATAGCCTGTTTGGTAGGGCGCTGGACTTACGTTCGTAAGAACGGGAGTTCAAGTCCAGCCGGCCGAGGCCTCTCCGTGTAGTAAATGGTGACTGGTGCACGCTAAATATGTCAGATCATAAAGTCCTCCACATTACCATAACAAATTATACCTCTGGGGGTATTGAATTGGAGATTGATCATTCACTGGTTCAGGTCAAAATTACGATCGGTGGATGGATGAATGGGTCCGCCCAATAAACGGGTATCGTATGAGGTATGGGTGTGCCAGAAGTAGAATTATTGGCCAAAGATTGCGTTACTAGAAAACAAGAACAATCGTAACCCTTGCCTTAATGACCTACGACAGCAAAAGCAACAAAGGAATAGATGGTGATAATATAAAAGAAATTTAAGGTTCTTTTTAAGTAAAAAAAGAATATTTATTCATTATAATAAGATTTAAAACTATTAAAGAATTTGCATAGTTAAAATTTCGTAATAAGATAAAAATGATGTTTCTTTTTGTGGAATGTGAATTTTAGATAAAAACGAAGAGACCCTCTTTTGTTGCATGATAGTTAGTTGCATGATAATTTTTTTTCTTAAGAAAAAGAGGTGCTATAAAGGATATTTCATATCTACCTTTAAATTTCGCAATATATTTTTTAATGAAAAATAAACCTTTTTCCTCATCTTAAGGGGTTCTTTCAAAATCATCAAGTTTTGCAATGGTCTCTAATACCGGGTTTGGCTAAAAAATGACTTCTTTATGAATGGGAATGTGTGTGTTCTGGAAGTGCACTCTTTCCCGCCATTAATTGCGTAACGTGGATGACCCAGTTACACTTTTCTTTATGACTTTTTAGTTCCTCTGGAAGTGTTTCTTTTTTTTCCGCTTTCCAACTTGCTCTATATTAAGTAGTGACCTTAAGGAACTGATCTTTATAAATACCGTTATTATATTACGCTGTCTGTCACATTTTTATTTTCCGGCTTGAGCAGGTTATCAGGTGCGCAATCACAATCCTTTCATTTCTTTCGTCATTCCTGAAAGAAGTGTTTTCTATATAAGCATGCAGGTCCATTAAAACCAATGTTTTGACAAAGCTTGCCTTTACTTAAAACAAGGCCGATTTTTTTCCTTTAATGCAATCTAGCTCTAGCAGAGTTGCACAGGCCTACGGGACTTGGTCTAAAAGGATACTATATGCCTGTTATTGATATGTATATATTACATTATTATCAATATTTGATAAGCATTATAGCCTTATAATCGCATGGGTTTATGGTGAAGAGGTGCTATATGTTTCTACTATTGATATTTATTTATAAGAGTATTATTAATATATTTAATAAGTATTATGGTCTTTATTATTGCACCGACCTACGGGGCCTGATCGGAAGAGATAATATCAAAAGCCTGTTATTGATATATTTTTAAATAACGATATTAACCATATTTGATAAGCATTATGGCCTTGATATCGCATGGGCCTACGCGGCCTAGTCTGAAAAGATAATATAAATATCTGATATTGATATTTATTTATAACAGTAAAATCAATATTTAATATCCATACTTCTATGTTTTGTGAAACATTATTTGCTTGATATATTGTTAATTACTTTAATGAGCAAAAATCTTTTAGATGCATAAGAATCTTTCATATGAATAATAATTAAAACTCGTTGTTCTTTGTTTTAAAACAATACTAATTACAATTCTACAATACAATACAATTCTATTCGAGAATATTTCCTAAGATTCTTTATCGCAGAAAGATTAATACCTAGGACCTGCACTTGTACTTACATTTGTACAGGTTTTGCTAACGTATTGTAATTCTTTACGAGAAGGGATACTTTTTTTCTTATTTCGATTTTTTTTACCTTAAAAATTAAAAACAGCGCATTTCAGGAGGTTCAGGACGTTCAGGATCCAAGTTCACCGCAATCAGGCTCCTTGATTCAGTCGAAATGTTTCAACATTACAATATTATTAACAATATAAATCGAAATGTCAAGTGCTCAATTGTGAATAAAATTCCTGTCACAATTTCATTTTTTAACTATTTATATTTTAAAATTATGAGAGTGTTTTTATCTTCTGAGTGTTTCACCTCAGTGTTTCCTGATTATATAAATAAATTCATTGATAGTTAAACAAACATAACTGTTTCCTTTTTTGCTTTACGAAATGAAAAATGTAAAATTATCAACTTAGTTTGTGATGACACTGATAAATTTAAAAAAAAGTGTTCTTGCTCGGCAAGTTTATTTAACCCTTTATGAGACTGCTTTTAAATTATTTTCTTTAATATATGCATTATTCACTCAATGCTGACCAATTCGAATTTTTTTAATATTATTCTCTGCTTTAGATTAAATGAAATCAAACTAACAGCAAAACTATAACAAAAAAAATCCTCCCTTATTTTTTAAAATTTTAAACTTCTTAAAATTTTAAGAGCGCATTACAAAATGTTAAAATACATTAGAATTCTAAAATGATCTGAGAATATCCATACCTGTGAGTTTATTAAATGATTTGCTGAATGCAGTAAATAAATCAATAAATTACACTGGGGCACACATTTTCTTTCCTTTATTTCTTTTCTCTTTTTGCATGAGGTTTTTTTTTAACAGATCTCAGATTTCAAATCAGTAATAGGATTCTTTCTCTAAGCTACATTTTTTTTTTTAAATTAACCTATCTAGTCTTGTCCTACAGTCTATTTTTTGTTAAAATGTACGAGTTTAAAAACGTTATACTCAGCAAGGGGGTTGATAAAAGTTGCGACTAACTTCTTCGGGAGTTTATAATCAGAATTAAAGTTCCATACGAATCCAGGCCCAAAAATGTTGTCATACGCCGCTTAGGGCGCTATCCCTATTATGAATTGTTTCTTCGCATGCTTCTGAAAAGGTCATAATAGGTAACCGCCCCTAGCCATGTACGATAACATTTTTGCTACCCCCTGTCATACATAAGGTGTTTTCGACAAAAAAATGTCATTTAAAAGAGATCTATAGCTTGAGGAGCAAAACTAGTTTCAGATTTGTATGAATGCAATAAAAAAATTTCCCCCAGTGAAATTAATAAACGTTAAAACTTTTATTACTTGCAATGCTTAAATGCATTTATAAAATAAAAACAGTTAATTTTTTTTTTACTTAATAAAAATAAGCATGTTTTGCCAAGGTTACACTTTTGTATTTTTTTATTTGTTGAATGTATATCTTAAACATGCAAAAATTTTTCAAAACTGCAATTTTAAAAAATTTTACAAAAAAAAAATTTGCATTTTCTTTAAAAAATTTGTTTTATGTAGCACACGCTTCGTTTGTAAAAGAAGCGTGTGCTACATTTATTACTTTTTTTTACCAGATGCTTTTCAGATTAGATATAATTTAAATAAGTACGATTTGGATTATTTTATAGGGAGTTTAATTTCGAAAAATGTTCATTTACCTAGCAGCCGGATCTCATGATTTCGTCGGGAGGTTCCAGAGGTGAAAAAAATGTAATTTGGCAAAATTAAGTTAGTATGTTTTAAAGCACCACTAAGTATAAATTAAATTTGTATATGAAAATCTCAACGATGTCTAGCTATGTATTTTACAAGGTTATAATAATTCCTGCATATAATATGTAAATTCAATTGTTATAACACTACCGCTACAAAGAATCTTAATGGTAAAGAATTTTAAAGCGTAAAAAACCGCAGCTGATGCGCTTTTATAAAGAAACTTCATTTCCTATTAAATTTAGGATATCAGAGATTCATATTAAAATACTTGTATTTTTAGCGGTTAGCAAGTTTTAGAATATTTTCTTTTACGAGAAAATAGTGAAGAATATTTTATTTCACAAAAACAAATTAAAAATTAAATTTATTTTTAGCTTATGCGTAACTGATAGCTCTATATTTTATACTACTTTATTTTTGACAAAGATTCTAAAAAAATATATAATATGGTGGTCCTTTGCAATTCATGTTCATATATTATGTTCCAAATTTTATGGTCCTGGTCTATAGGGCATATAACTTCAGTAAATTTATATTACGGAATACTCTTCAGATGTAGTATGAAGCTTGGTGAACAGCACATCTTTACTTCTGTACATTTACAACCGGGCTATCAAGGTCACTCTCGGGGTTGTTTTCATTTGAAGGTCCCTTTTGTTCATCACAATGAACATGAGGGGATTTAATTTAATTCCATGGCAACCTTCATCTGTCAAAAGGTCCCTTATGATATAATCGAGTTAACAATGTCTTATATACTAGTGATTTGGTATTTAATATTTGTAGTGGTAGTTACTCCCCTTCCAGAATTTTATCTGTGATAGAATTCGATGTACAGATAGATGCCACAAGTTGAATCATGCTGTTTATTTATTTATATCAATTTTGCTCAATATGTTTTTCTTTATTTTTTGTTTATAGCATTTTGCACATTTTTTTTTCTTTTTTTGATTATAGCATATAGCATTTTGCTCATTTTTTTTTTCTTCAGTTTTGTCTATTACCGGGAGACTTTACTTACTCTACCGGATATTTTTCTTCTTCTTTGAGCAGTATATTTTTAAGCAAATCAATTGTTTAATGTGGATTCATCCATCAATATTGACGAGTTCATATCACGTCCGGAGGCCACCAATGAGGGGAATTTATATTTATAGACTATGCCAACCTTCATCTATCGAAAGGTACCTCAAAATCGAATCGAGTTAACATGTCTTATATACTAGTGATTTGGTATTTAATTTTTGTAGTGGTAGTTAAGCCACAGACATATATTCAACATATATTAAATTTTTATTTAATGACCGGCTGTAGTTATGCTTTGGTTCTCGTAATAGTGGTACATTAAATATATTTTTTGCCATAATTGTATGAAGAAAAACACTTGAACGAATATTGTGAAATTCCATCATGAGAAATTTCAGAATTCTTAAAAAAAAATATACATTTGTTGGTGTTTGCAAAAAGAAATATTCATTTAATATATTCCAAAAACGGCAAAAATTGATCAATAATGTTTAAAGCATGAAATAAATGATATAACATTGGGAAACTGAATGCACTTGTTTTTTTAAATTTCTTTTGATTAAAAATGAAAAATACGTAAACATAAGTCTAAAAATATTTATTAAACACATGAAACCAATGAGTATATAACCCATTATGTATATATTACTAAACTAATAAGAATATGAAGAAATCTAATGGCAGGTGAGCTGGCGTGTGATAAAGGTTGAAGTTGAGACTGATACTTGATAAATGAATAACCAAAGTTGATAAATTATAATTACAGTAATCTTCGTAATTACAATTAGTGTTCCGTAATCACCACCCTTAATATATATGTTAAGAAATATTTAAATCAGCAGAGAAAACGCTGTCTAAATATAACGAATCACTATTGAAACTATAAGCACAAAAACTTCATTGATTCCCGGAAGAAAAAAAAGAAGAGTCCTGAAGGCGATTATCAAAAATTCAAAGTTTAAACAGACATTTAAATAACTGGTTTCGAACTTGTGTTTAACGTTTTTAAACTATTACATTTAGGCAAGAAATAAACTATAAGACTAGACTAGATAGGTCATTTAAAAAAATAGCTGTAGTTTGAAGAGAGAATCTTATTGCAGATTTGAAATCTTCGAACTGGAGCGATTTTAATAACGTTTTTGTTTCTCCCTCTCTCTCTAATGTGTGATTTCTGATGGGCGCATTTTAACAACGATTCCAAAATTTGCAAAGTAAGGGTGGTGGTTACGAAACATCCTGTTAATAATTAAATTAAAAACATCAGACTTTTTGAGCCAGTTGCCACTTTTCATTGTAGTTGTGTGAAATTATGGTAGAACTTTTGTAATTAATGAATGTAATTTCGCACAATATCCACGAAAGTAACTAACGATGGCGGTAATGTTACCATTTACTTTCCAGTTCTTCGTTTTGAATCTTATTTTATTCAACAATTTTTGAAGTCAATGATTCAATGATTTTATTCCAAAGCATGATGTGTCCCGCAATGCATCACGCTTTGAATTATCTTAAAATGTTCTTTCAATCATTTCCGCCACCAGTCTTCACTGAAATTCGTGTAATCGTCCACGGTATTGTATTCTTCAATACTGTTGTGTACAGACGGTACAAACACGGATTCACTGTCCTTAACAATATCGGAAGAACTGAGACTCAGCTGTTTCAGGATGCTGTCGATGTTTTCAGATGCTGATTGAAGTTCTGCCAGTGCATGAGTACCAGAAGCTTTCGAGTCATATGTTGGGTAGTCATAGGATGCCTGTTGCCAGAACTGGTCACCTTGATGACCATATGCTGAATAGCCGTATGGATGAACGCTGAAAACAGAGATTTACAGTTTTTAGGATTATGCTTTAATAAAGTACTGACTTGTTACCTGATTAAAATCTTCATTGGTTTCAAAAATACATAAAAGGCAACGTATTTTTTAAGTAACTTATTTTAAATTCAAAATACATAAAAAGTAAATATATAAAAAGTAAGCTTCAAAAATTCATAAAAAGTAAGGCATTTTTGAAGTAACGTATTTTTGAAGTAATGTATTTTTGAAGCGAATAAAGCTTTTAATCTTGGACAGTTTCTTGCGATTATTTATTTAAAATCTATTTATTCTTCTTAGGATTATTTATGCAGCGCAAACATCAGGCGAGATTGCATCGAATAAGGATCAGAAAAAAATACAGTTGATTCCAAGAATTTGTAGAACAGCTCTTCTACAGTGTGTATTTGAGCAAGCAATTTGATTATTACAAACATCAAGAATTGTTATTTTATTTTCCAGAGTTGCTCAACAAATGTCAAGTTTTAATTTTTTTTCCTCTGAATTTCTATGCAAAACCAGATGTGTGAAATATTTCAAAATTAACAGAAAAAACTAACCTGGAATCATTTGTCTGAATATCACAGTTTTAGTTGTACTAAATTTACATCACTTTAGAGCTGTACAATGGGCTATTAGGGAAACATCAATAAAGATGATCCCAAGACGTGTCATAACAATTTTGATCCTCTGCAGAGGAGATGGCTTCCTACTTTGGTAGCCCGACGAACTACATGCGAAGTTGTGCACTTTACGTTAGAAGAGTTTCACGAGGAACGATACCGCGCACTCTTTTGTCTTTCACAGACTGATCGAAGTTGTCATCCAGTCGCTCACTGACCACAGCCAGTGGGCATTCCGAGAACTACTGGGAACCATGTCTTATGACCAACTCACTGTGGGACATACCATGGTTTTACTTTAGTCTCCGTTCTTTTTTCCTAACCCTATAACGTGCGATTTTTTATGTATTGCAGTGGTTTTAAAACTACTCTCAAAAGAGCTGTAGAATATTAATGTAATAAGTAATAAAATAAGTATTTTATTATCTGTGCTACTATTTAAAATCTGAAAAAAAAATATCGAATTCTATGCTTACAGATCCAATTATAATCTTTAAGTTACTTATTTATATTTCTTGGTATTTTAGTATATTTAAATTAAAAAGTATTGCTATTAATGAGTATTGCTATACAAACAAATTTTATCCTTTCATCTAAATTTATTATTTTTCATTTAAAAAAAGGAAGCTTGTTATTAATCTACTTGTTTACTCATTCATTGTTGCACATTCGTATGAAGGTTTGTATGCTCATTACAAAGACAGCTTATAAGCAAGCCCTTGTCAAGTTGAAGAATCGATATCATAACAGCAACACAACGATATATACAGAGTTACATCCAGGCTTAGATCCAGGACTCGAACCCGTTAATTCCACGATAAAGATTATTTGATCGAACGACGATTCCGCTTGGCTAGAAAGGCTGCTTAACACATTTAGGATTAACATACACTTTTCAAAGAAAAATTGGTAGCAGCTCAGGTGTTTCATTATAAAGATTTATTTTGCAGAAACAAGTTAGCTTTGCCAACCGTTATTTATTATAATATGAATGTAATGTACCTGAAGTCAAAATACTGTGCTTTTTTAAAGCAAAAATGGTAATTAGCAAAAAGAGATATCATCTTGGTATAAGCAAATGTGTACTATCACTTCGTCCATATGGGTGTTATTCATAGATAAAACTTTTTTTGTGAACGAGCACTGAATTAAAGAGTCAATTGTGGTGCTACATATACAAAATGGAATGTAAATAAAAGTCATGGTGCTATACAATGATAAGTCNTGGGTTAAATTTAGTAGGAATAACACAACCTGTGACGTAGGCTATAGTATACCCAATTAGCAAAAAGAGATATCATCTTGGTATAAGCAAATGTGTACTACCACTTCGTCCATATGGGTGTTATTCATATATAAAACACTTTTTGTGAACGAGCACTGAATTAAAGAGTCAAGTGTGGTGCTACATATACAAAATGGAATGTAAATAAAAGTCATGGTGCTATACAATGATAAGTCACATTTTCAAATTGTTTAGAGGAGCAATTTGGGTGAAAAACACCTAGATTTCCTTGTAAGCAATAAGATGTAAGCATTAAGCAGTCATCTAATAGAAATTCCGGAAATCTGTAGAAAAAAAAATAAGAAGAAACTGTTTCACTCAAAACTTAAACACTGGAATGTGTGGCTTATTATTATATTTCCCCCAAGTACTTTAAATTAAAGTAGGAAATTTACTTACGGATAGGGTTTTCGCACGTGCTTGCTAAAGGTAATAGGGAGTGGAATAGGAATAGGTAGTGGAACAAATCGTGGTTTCAAAAGTCCACCTATTATAGCGGCTAAAGCAATTTCTTTTGTCATGAAATGAACTCCCATAATTTCTGGTATTAAAAATCCCAGCAACAGCAACATGATGTTCAGACATTTCATAAATTTTGGATGCATTTTGGTATCTGTAAAAGAGCAAGACAATCTTAATTTATTCAATGTCAGAAAATTTTGCAGGAAATCTCTAAGACTTGATATAAATTCATTAATAAAAGCACAGAGTTTAAATAAAACACTTCTTTTAAGAGTACGCGGTTTTTGCAATTATACGGTTCAATAACAGAAACAGATTTAATGCAATTCTCAAAACTCTCCAGAAATGTGTTTCGGTCTCTCTTAAGAAGACGCCACTACGGGGGAGAAATTCTTAAAAACAATTCTTTTCCATCTACCTAAGTAATTTAAAGTTAAAAAAAGTGAACCTAGAGTAAACCGTGACGCTTTAAATGCTTAAAAAATGTTTTCCAAAGATCAGAATGCGAAAAAATTAATTTAGGTTTACTTTCCAAATGCGTAATCTTGCCATAATTTATTTGCACTTTGATAATTTGAAGAAAAAAAATTCAGCACTTAAATTCATAATATTTCATTTATGGTTTACTCTAGATTTATGTGAACTCAATTTTTTCTAAACTTTAAATTGTAATATACAAATGTTAGCAATTATTCTAGAAGTTAGTGACCTCCAAAAGTTTCATGTAACATACATTATGTTATCATAGGTAAATTTCATGATTTAATGGTAAATTTTAAATTAATTAATTCTATAAGTTAATTGAACCATTGAAAAATCATTAATAATAATATGACAGCTTTATTAATAATAATAATAAAAAACAGCGATAGCAGAAAACGCAGCTAGCAAATTAAGATCCTCTTTTTCCCTTCCCATTTATGTTTATGAAATTACTTTCTACAGTTAAATTAACATATGCATAAAAGAATATTGAAATAATTATAACAATAAAGAAAAAACTCGTGCAAAAATTCTATTATTATTTTTTTTTTTAAATTTTAAACTTTTATTAAAATTTTCTTTAATAAATGTTTTTTTAATAAAAAACTGACAATATTTAGATTAGAAAAATAGGAGCTTAATCTAGATTTTTAACTTCTTGACATACATTTAAAGTTAACTCCTGAAACCAATAAGATTGAGTCTTTTTGCGCAAAAATCCTACCATTAGATCAAAAATTATTCTGGAGAATAGCAACTTCCAAAAGCTTGAGGCAACATACATTCACTGTGTTTACATTATTAAATTTCTTGATTTAATAACAATTTAAATTAATTATTTCTACACGTTAGTTAAATTGTAGGAAAAAAAGTATTACATTTTGTGGTAGCTTTTATAATGATAAAAAAAACAATGATATTAATTTTAAAAACCACAAACAAATAGACATAATCTAGTTATTAACATCAGAGCTAGAATTTTAGAGCTTTAAAAAATATTGGAAAAAATGCGAAACGCTTTTAACATCCGCCAAAAAAGATTTTAAAATTAAAAATAATGCCTTTAAGTTTTAGAAAAAAAATTTATAAAATATCTTTAAAAAAACTAATAAATCTTACTTTGTATTTGTAAATTGAATGAAAAATGTAGAAATTAAAATAAATATGCAGTTTATGAGAAAAGTAAAATGTAAAAAAATACCTCATAATATTAGAATTAGAAGTAACTATCTTAGAGCACATCAGAATTGCATTGTATTATTAAATGTTTTTGTGAAGTCTTTAAATCAAAAGTTGCTTAGGGTGTTTTAAAAATTTTAATTTGAAGTCCTTAAAAAGAAAATTAATGCGAAATTAATTTGTGAGGAAAATAGTTAATCCACAAGCAAAATGGTCTTACAATAAAAATCATTCAAAATTAATTTAAAAAAAATCTAAATACAGAAAAAATTATCTAAAAAATTTATAAAAAAATGCCATATGAAGAAAAAACGACCAAGAATGTATTTACCATCAATAAGATAGTCTAGTTTATCATAAATGGTAATGAAATTAACGGAACCGTTAATAACAAGAAAGGAGATTTTAATCACTATAACAATAATGAAAAAATACAGTAGAAAAATTCGATTAAATTCCATTTTTTTTAATCATAATTTTTTCTTAAAAGCAGCAAAAGAAATTAGTTTGCTTAAAAAACTTATATTAGAAAATAAGGTCTTTCAACCTTCATCTTGACACACATCTACTGTTTGGCAAGTATTATCATTTTTAAATATGCTATCTTAATTCGAAACAGATTGAATTGATATTATACAATAGATACAATTAGATTGATTTACATATAATTTTTTTTTTTATTTTGAAATTCTATTGTAAGTTCTTCATAAAGAAATTTCAACTTAAGGTTATTTAATTTTCTGAATGACTTTTTTTGTTCGGACATTGTGAGTATGGCACCCACGCAAATGCAAATTTGAATAAAAACGAACTTTTTTTAGGTCAAATTTTCTTAAAATGGAGTCTCTCTTATTCACGCTAATTTAAATCAGTACCATTTCGGATCACCGATAATTAATTCCGGTTCAAATAATGAAGCTAAAGGATCCTTGAGGAAAGGATGTTTTTAGGTCCAATATAGTGATGTCTCTGTAAAAAGTAATACTGTAAGATATTTTTTAATTTTATTCTGAAAAATAAAAAAAAAATTTGAGGAATTATTCTGTTTTGTTCTGTATAAACATGTACCTTAAAATGATTTTATTTCCAATATGAAAAGAAATAAGTGGGCAAATTTGTTCTGTACAAATAAAAAAAGATCAACATTTTACTGCGAAAATTAAATCGAAGCATTTTATCCACATTATTAAAAATGGATCCTCACATTTGACAAAACTTTCTTTGTTTTTGGCGAAACCATTTACTGGTATATGCTCCGAGCAAAAGATTCGTCAAAGTGAAGAAATAACTCTCCTTACTTCTTCGAGGAAACGACTTTCATCATAATTAACGATATATTTTGTCATTCTATTTTTTTTTCCAAAAAAAATGTGTTCATCTAAATTTTCTATTAATCACTTCTTCGTGAGCACCATTAGGTGGATCAAATGTCTTCCAGACAACACAAGAAGGTTAGATAATATAGAGGGATAAATTACACAGGTGCCCGAATCCAGATTCAAATCCGGGATCCTCCTGGTATGGTACGAGGCCAACTTCTTGATCACCATAGAGACTGTTTGACTTGACTTAATTCGCCAATTTTTTTTTCCAATCGGCTAGTCTTTATTCTAGTATCGTCATTCTAGTAAACAATCTCAAACAGCTGTGATGAGGTTCGGAGTAGAGGAAACATTTTCGTCATATATTTGACATTTCGCGTTTTGTCACAAATCATGTGGTTTCGTGACAAAATGATTCTCGAAATTAACGAGATACAGCTAAAGGGTTGCTGAATCGTCGAAAGTGGGAATTTTATTTCTGAGAGTGCAGCTAAGCTCCCGTTTATCGCGCATAGGCGGCCGATCGAATTTCTATTGCAGTGTATATGACGTGCATGCTCGTCATGTGAAATAAAAAATTGCAATTAACTATCAAAACTTGAAATTTGACTAAAATACTGTACGAATATTACTTTGTGGTATGTTTTATTTTTATACTACCAATAGAACTGCCAAATATTTTATATTGTGGTTCAGGAGGGAAGCTCGTGGCCCGAAACCATTCACATTCGTAAGCCATAACTTGGACGGCGAGCACTGATTTGCCAAGAAATTGCGTGAACAATTAGCTGAGCTAATATTGCTCTTATGTTCTTCTAGAGAAGAGATGGGTTCGTTTACTAAAACAAGTTTTCGGACTCTTAAATTTTTTTTATAAGCTACTTTTCAGCAAACATTTGCTTCAGTTACTAAATATAAAATTTATAAGGCATAAAAACTTCAACAATCTGCTACTTCTTTTCCAAGCTTTTGCTTTTGGCCTTTTATACCTCGGTTACGAGCGAACTCTGTAATCCTATGTATCTCGGGCTTGAACTAAAATCCTTCGGGGTCGAACCTCAAAAAGAGAGCATGAACTTCTCTCTCGGCTTAGGGGATAGAGTGTTCGCTTTCTAATGAGGCGAACCAGGTTCGAATCCCAGTCGATGCGAATTCAGCATCCAGCTTGCATCGACCACAGTGCTGACGCAAAATATCCTCAGTGGTAGACGGATCTTGGGTTAGAGTCTCCTTGCCTTCAGGCTAACCGTGGGAGGTTCTCTTGGTATTCCTCTCCATGTAACGCAAATGCGTGTTGGCTCCATCAAAAAGTTCTCCACGAAAGCAAATTTCTCCCAAAACTGGATCCAGGAGTTACCTTGTCTTCTGAATTGGGTTCAAAATTACTAGGCTACGGAGTTGAACATTAGTAGTCGTAAACCAATAAAATTGGGTCTGCTGTTCAACGACGGTTATAAAAAATAAATAAATAAANTCGAGGAATTATTTTGTTTCGTTTTGTATAAACGTGTACCTTAGAATGTTTTTGTTTCCAATATGAAAAGAAATAAGTGGGCAATTTTGTTCTATACAAATAAAAAAAGACCAACATTTTACAGCGAAAATGAAATCGAAGTATTTTATCCACACTGTGAAAAATGGATGCTCACATTTGACAAAACTTTCTTTGTTTTTGGCGAAACCGTTTACTGGTATATGCTCCGAGTAAAAGTTTCGTCGAAGTGAAGAAATAACTCTCCCTACGTGACGACATTCATCATAATTAACGAAATATTTCGCAATCCTACTTTTTTTTTCAAAAAGAAAAATGTATTTATCTAACTTTTCTAATAATCACTTCGTGAACACCATTTTCGATCAAATGTCTTCCAGACAACACAAGAAGGATAGATAAAACAGAAAGATAAATTACAGAGGTATCCGAAGCGGAATTCGAACCCGAGATCTTCTTGTTATGAGGCCAACCTTTCGACCATCATAGAGACTGGTTGGCTTAATTCATCAATTTTTTCGGTCATCTAGTCTTATTCTAGTTTCGTCATTCTAGTAAACAATCTCAAACAACTGCGGTGAGGTTCCGAGTTGAGGAAACATTTTCGTCATACATTTGATATTTCGCGTTTTGTCACAAATCACGTGGTTTCGTGACAAAATGTTTCTCGAAATTAACGAGATACAGCTAAAGGGTTGCTGAATAGTCGAAAGTGAGAATTTTATTTCTGAGAATGCAGTTAAGTGGCGTTTACAGACGCGATCGACCAAATTTCTATTGCAGTGTGTATGATGTGTACGCTCGTAGTGGGAAATAAATAAATAAAAAAAATACAATTAACTATCAAAACTCGAAATATGACTAAAGTACTATAACAATATCATTTGGTGGTATGTTTTTCTATATTACCAATAGAACAGTTACATATCTTATACTGTGATTCGAGAGGGTAGCTCGTGGCCCGAAACCAATTAAATTCGTAAGCCACGATTTGGACGGCGAGCATTGATTTGCAAAGAAATTGCGTAAACAATTAGCAGAGCTAATACTGCCTTTATGTTCTAACTAGAGATGAGATGGGCTCGTTTACTGAAACAAGATTTCGGACTCTTAAAAAAAAAATTTTAAACTACTTTTCATCAAACGTTTACTTCAGTTACTAAATATAAAATTTATAAGGCATAAAAACTACAGCAATCTGCTACTTCTTTTCCGAACTTTTGCTTTTGGCCTTTTATTCAGTAGTATACCTCGGTTACGAGCGGACACTGCAATCCTATGCATCTCGGGCTCGGACAAAAATCATTCGGGGTCGGACTTCCAAAAGAGACCATGAACTTCTCTCTACAAAGCAGAGTCCTGAGCCGCGATGGCTCAGGGGATAGAGCTTTCGCCTTCCAATGAGGCGAACCGGGTTCGAATCCCAGTTGATACGAATTCCGCATCCGGCTTGCACCGACCACAGTGCTGACTTGAAATATCCTCAGTGGTAGACGGATCCTGGGTTAGAGTCCCCTTGTCGTCAGACTAACCATGGGAGGCTCTCGCTGTTTTCCTCTCCATGCAAAGCAAATGCGGTTAGCTTCATCAAAAAAAGTTCTCCACGAGAGCAAAATTTCTCCCAATACTTGATCCAGGAGTTCCGTTGTCGTCTGAATTGGGTTCAAAATTACAAGGCTACGGAGTTGAACATTAGTAGTCGTACACCCATAAGATTGGGTCTACTGTTCAGCGACGATTATAAAAAATAAATAAATAAATAAATTTAAAAAAAAAAAACAGAGTCCTGAATACTCTTGAATTGAATATAAGAATTTTGAATATTCGATCCAAAAGCTCGTCCTTCCTCGCTTTCGCCTCATATTCTTATATTGTATCGTATTATTTTTTGACATTTTTTTAACAACAGTAACCTTTTCAGAAATAAATTTTATTATTTTTTTAAAGACAAATGTAATCCTTTCTCGTATTTCATAAAATTTATAACAGGACTATTTGTCATGCGCTTGGCATGCATACGGGCAATCTGAGTAAACATATCTTTATTTTACGGATAGGAATGGACTTAAATCTATAACTAAGAGGGAAGCTACAGTATGAAAGATACTATCACAATCATTTAGCCAGGAGTGTGTAATAGTTAGTTAATAATAGTTGCATACTTAAGTTGGAAACACCCAAAAAGTTAAATTAACATTAAGAGGTCCAACTGTTTGACTATTGAGCCACATTTTTTCAAATTGGGTCTACTAACCTTCTCCCCCATATTTTAAGGGACAATATATCAAGTCCGTGTAAAAAAGTATGTTTATTCAGAGAAATACGTCGTTTTTTAATTCCATGGCTTAAAATAACATCTGCTCCAATTAATTAGCATCTATAAACCTAAAAATTGCATAATAGAACGTGAAAATATGATTTTTCCACAAAAAGTTATTAAAGTGTTCCGTTTTTAAATTTGTGCATTTTACAATTATGCCCTACTAGCTGAATATTCGTTTTTCATACGAGGTGAATGAATAAAGGAAATAATAAAATAGTACTGAACTAAACTACGAAATCATGCACAAAACTAAATGGCATATACCAACACAGTTAATAAACCTAAAATAATATCGATTATTTATTTATCTATTATTATTTGCTGCCCTTTCCGGTGACTTTACGTTATTGAATTAAGCGAAACATGATTTTTTTATAGTTCATTTCCTCTGAATAAAGATTAACTGCATTCAGTATCATTTGGCATGACTTGGCAGTTTCATTGGAAGTTCAATGTTAGGAAAGAACAAAACCAAGTCTTTCTTCCAACCAACTTCTTGCATTTCAAATAAGATAGAAATTCAGTTTTTCCCAATTGTTGCATTATTTCTTAAATAAAAAACACTACAAATTTCTATGCATTTTGTACGCTGGAACCCCTTAAAATTTTTTTTATTTTTGTAAGACCTTGTTTTAAACATTAAGTACTACCATAGATAGTTAGGGCCATACAATTCTGTAGTTATAATTATTTACAGATCACTTCCACTGTTTAAGAATGTTCTCATATCAAACTTTTAAAATTTGGTTAAAATTAGTTAATTACTCTTACTCCAACTTTTAGTAACTTTCATAAGTTTAAAAAAAAATATTAAAAATAAAAATATGGGTGTTACGGAACATAAAGCAATATATTGCGCCTGTTAACAGACAGTGTTTACTTTTCTTAAAATAAAAAAACATTAAAATTCTAAAAGTTTCCAAAATTTAGAGCAGTGTAAATGTCATCAAGACTTATTTTAACAAAAAATATTATATACCTTCAAATATTGTTATAAAAATAGTTACAAGCTTTTAAAATCGGCAAATAGTAAATATTCGTAATTGGTAGAAAAAATAGCCCAATATTACATTTTAATACTTATAAATTTTAATTAGCTAAAAGAAAAATTATTGTAAAAAGTACTTACTTTAAGGATGCAGATACTTCAGAAGTCCGAAAGAAGAGTACTAAAATTTCAGTTAAACCCTAAGTTAAGTATGGAGAGGAATCATTCTGTTGTCAACTTCAAGGGCTGGCCTTCAATATTCCATATTGGAGGATACTTCCCGCTACTCATCTATGTTTTTGTGTCAAATGTAGAAGAATAGTCCAGATTTAGACACCTACGAATATTTTACAATTCTTCAATTGGATCTATGAGTCATTGTTTTCGTAAGTGGAGTTCAACACGCTTGGCGAGGTGCCCTTTGCATTCAAATGGCTATTGCTTTTTAATTTGGCTGGATGGAACATTTTTCTTATTAGATGGGCTGGAACCGTTGGCGTCACAGTGTTATGACCTCTGAAGAGTAAGGAGACAGGTGATGTATTGACAATAGTGGTTTGAAGATACTTTTCGGTATAAATAGTTTTTTTTGTTATAATTTCTATGATAAAAAGGAAGAAAGTTGCAGGAATTTTATTGCAACATTATTATAATTTGATATAAATGTAATTTTTTTCTCTATTCAGTTGATGTATTTAATTACTGCATATGGGAAATAAAACTAAAAAACATATATTTCGATTAAGAAGTTTTTTGAAATCCAGCTAAAGTGTTGCTTAACAGGGTAGCGCAATAAACGGAAATTAATATTGAGTAAGTGCTCAAAAATATTATTGGTAGTTTAATTAACGGCATTAAAAGGTTAGTACACCGTAATCAAGTTTTATTTTGAGAAACAAAAGAAAGATGGTGGCAGGGAGTTCATTGCAACACTATTGTAATTTGACAGAAATTAAAAAAGGAAAATTTTCTATATTCGGTTTTAAGTAGTTAATTACTCGATAAGGGAAATAAAAGAAAAAACACAGATTTTTATTAATCAGGTTGATGAAATCTCGCGAAAGTGCTAATTAACAAGGTACAGAATTAGCGAGAATTAATTTTGAGTATGTACCGAGCTCTAAAATATTACTGGTCACTTAACACTTTTATCGCGACAATGACGCGCCTTTGCCGTGCTTAGAATTTCTCCACATCTCTTAAAAAAATCCTTTAAAACTTATTTATTTTATTTAAAAAAATGAAAATCAATTGCAATCAATAACCATATTCACTAATACAACAATAGAGCAAAGCGAATATTCCTGGTAGACGAGTTAGCTCGTTCGTCGCGATGAAAGAGCTAATAGCATTAAAAAATTGGTATACAAAGGTCAAATTCTATTTTCGAATACCATTTTAAAATGTTAATTGTACAGTGCCAAAAATGGAACCGGTAATGTTAAAAATTATTACTTAAAATGTAACTGCCAACTTTTAGGGTCCATTACGTAAGTATTTATTTTTATAGTTAAATATGTAGCAAAGTTTCTTTTTTATTCTTCGATTTACAAATACTTTATAATTATACGATAAAATATTCAATATTTTCTTGTCTTTTACAGTGCGTAGTTTTTTAAATTACTGAACAATTTCTGCCCCAGAATATTATACTGACAATTTTCTAGAAGAATCTCTATTTTGGGATATTATTTTTAACGAATCTTATAAGAAAGATTGTCCTCATTAAATTTATATGTTAGAAAAACATAAGATTCGGGAATACTTTACTTTTTTATAATAGTCAACTAAAATTAAAAAAAGTTTTATCTATTTTTGAAAATAATAAATACTATTTTAAAGTTTTACAATCTTAAGGATCGACATACTTTTCTAAATTACTTATAATTTATTTATTATTATTACTTTATAATTATTACTTAGCTAAATTATTTTGTCCCACTTTAATATAATATGCATCGTTCATTTGCAAATAATTGCAGTGCTTATGTTTAGATTATTTCCACTTGGAAATTAAATGTATATCATACGATTCTGAAAGAATTCTTTAAAACCTAAATCTTAAAATAAAAAGTTTATGAATGTGCCAATAAAATTATAATTTCTTTACTCGTCTCTTTTCTGCCATGATATTACATATTTCTATTTGTCTCGTATTCGTGTCCTTATTAAAATGAATCATTTCTTATTTTCAAATATATGATTAAACCTAATATATGATTACATATTAGAAAATGATAAATTATTCACTTGAATGAGGTTTATTCTTTTGATACTAAAAATAGTTATGAATATAATGAATCAAGATTTAAAATTAAAAGAAAAAAATTCCTTTTTGAATTATTTTCTATTAAGAAATGCACATAATATTGCTTCAGGAAAAGGATCAAACACTCCTACATGTTCATCTTATTGCGTTAAAACGTGATAAATAACTCAGATTTATAAGTGACTACGTCATCGTTCTTCTCGCCTTGTTGCTTCCCAGTAACATCTACACACAGCGGGATCCTGTATATACTCGACTGTTAATAGCAACACGGGAGCTATCAGATACACACAACTGTGAGCTTAACACAGCACTCACGGCTAACGCTCAAAATCCGGTTAACTTAATACCGCTCTTCTAGACTTTAACAAATACGGTAAATAGAGGTATACATCGAATTCCATCCCTGATAGAATTCTTTGGGAGGAGGATTGTGACGTAACTACCACTATAAATATTAAACATCAATTTACTAGTATATAAGACATGCTAACTCGCTTTAACCTAGAGGCACCTCTTGATAAATGAAGGTTGGCGAAGTCGAATGCTCTTTCACCAGAAATATGAGACTGGCACCCAATTAGAATTTGAGATATAAAGCGTGCGTTATTTAGAATAGTTTTTACTTTTTTTTTCTTTCTTTTTTTGTCAAAATTATACTGATTCGATGCTACAATTAACAGTTTTTGAAGAGTAGTTGAACAATATACGATTGTTTGTTTTTAGATTTCCGATTTAAGAAAACTAGCAATTAACGTCAAAAAATTTTTTCGTATCATCGAAATTGTCTTTTATAATTTTAAACTGCAATCAATTTAAATTGCAACAAACTACTAACAAACGTATATTTTGAAATTACTAATTTAAAATCGCAAACTTAAAAATATTATTTATTTATAGTTTTGAGGAATATTCCGTGAAAATTCTAAACACGTTATCTCCAAATCTAATAAAGTGACCTCTTTATTTGTAACCTTTCTTGAAAGGTATTGTTCTACCAAATAGTTATGAATCATGAAAAGTTTTTAAAAAGAACAAAAATTATCAAGAAAACGCAAATCAAAAATTTAACCTAAAATACAAAATGGGGCGTGTGGAGACCTCTTAATGAAGATAGTCGCAGAAGTCCTCCCCTCCTATTTTTTTAAAAACTTTAATTCAATTATCTATTGTAATTCAATTATAAGAATTTCAGGATTAATGAAAGAAGTGACTTAGTATTAAAAACTTTACATTTCAATTCATCGTATAAACATAGTCTAAACAGATAATCGAATTATAATATGATTTAAATTGAACACATAAGCTCACACACATAAACATTCAGATGGTGTCCCAGGTTGTTGCAGCTTTATCTTATCTTTTATGACATAGCTTAATAGCTTAGCTTCTTCTACTTGCACCGAATCTTTGACTACCAATTCATGTATCCATTCGGCTTCTACTATGCCTTCAGAATATTTAATTACACACATAAGTTTATGTACTAAAAAGTTTTCTTGTCTTCAGGAATTTGTTTATGTTTTCCTTCTGTGGCCAAAATTCTTGAACTTCGAAACTCTATTAAGAATTTTTTTTAAACTATTTGTATTCCCATGTTTAACTTTTAATCCAAATTTAAAATTTTCCAAGCATAATTTCTCTTTTTCAAATTAGTGTTACGACAATTTATTGTTTTCCTGAAGCATTAAATGTTTTATTTACGTTGATGGTCAGTGCTAAGCTCTACGACTTATGTTTCTAATTATGAAAAAAAAAAATGCTTCTAGACTTATGTTTCTAATTATGAAAAAAAATGCTTCCAGACTTATGTTTCTAATTATGAAAAAAATGCCTCTAGACTTATGTTTCTAATTATGAAAAAAAATGCTTCTAGACTTATGTTTCTAATTATGAAAAAAAATGCCTCTAGACTTATGTTTCAAATTATGAAAAAAAAATGCCTCTAGACTTATGTTTCTAATTATGAAAAAAAATGCCTCTAGACTTATGTTTCTAATTATGAAAAAAATGCCTCTATACTTAAGTTTCTAATAAAAAAAATGCTCCTTGACTAATGTTTCTAATGATGAGAAAAATGCTCTGAAACTTATGTTTCTAATGATGAGAAAATTGCGCTTAGACTTATATTTCGAATGATTAAGAAAAGCCTATTATTTCAATAAATTCTATCTGTTTTAAAAATAATTTTTTCTGTAACTTTATGAAATAATAATTAGTAAGAAATTTTGAAATGAGTAATATTGAATACTTATTTGTAGGGCTTCATTTTCTTATGAACAGAGCACTTGCCCAGGGCACCTTAATAAAACGGGATGTTCAAATATTATGTACGCACCTAACAAGGGGAAGGGGTTATGGATTTGCTTATTTTTGTTGACAAGGGGGAGGAGGAGTCTGAGAGATGCTTGAAGACATTAAAATCCCTTTATTTTTCAAATTTAATTTTGAATTAAAAAATCAAAAAATTTAACAGGGAATTTACACTAGAAAAATATCAAATATGAAATAAAATTCGAAATTGAGAGAAGATAAAATTGAAAAAAAAAAATGTTTCTTCGAAGATTTACAGAGGTCGAGAGTTTTGAACATAAAAGGAAAGCACGAAGTATTCATAAGGAATATTCAACTCAAAATTTTTTTAAATGAATGAAAAGATAAATTTTGCTTTATGCAAAGTTTGCAAGGCAGCGATGAGTCAAATGACAGGTGTCTGTCATTTGAATTTAGTCCTGAAAATAGATATGATTTCGTTATTTTTTCTGAGAATAGGGGAGTTGAAAATAGCCAAAAATATGTTTATATTTGAATGAACTCTCTTATGTCATTGCATAAAGTTTCTTTTATTTTTACTTTATTTCTTATGCTTAATGGGAATTAAATCACAATTAATGTTTTTATTTTAATCCATTAGTGGATAGTACCATTTTATAAGAACAGTAAGTTTTTATTTTAAAGGAAAAAGAAAGTTATAGGATTTATTTAAATTGAATATAGTTATACTTGGTCTGCTCAAATAATGCCTTAATTTCAGGTTTAATTCAAATCAGTATTTCGCCTAAGGCCTCAGCATATCTCTATCGGCCACTTCTTACGTAATAATAAATCTTCATAAATACTAAAACTTGTTCTTGAAGTTAAAGTTAAAAAGTTGATCTTTTTGCAGATTACTTTAAAATTAAAATAATAAAACAAACTAAGTGACATTTTCATGAAACAAACAGACTCAGAAATAATAAATTTTATTACAAAATAAAATGTAACTATATTCAGATTCTTTTTTCAGTTTCATGGTTTTTAATTTTTTTTATAATTAATATTGGTAAGAAAAATTTCACAGAAAAAAGTTTATATGTTTTAAACCTATGGTGTTCATAGATTAAGCAGGATTATTTAGAATTCAGTACAAGAAACATATGTTATCAAATCGGAACAAATATCATAGCATTAGAGGTTAAAGCAATGTTGTATATTCAAAAAATGTTAACTACTAATGGAAATTTCAAAACAAAATATTTTTTAAAATTATTCTTAAGAAAGCATAAATATTCTCCGAAAAAAGAAATAATAAGTTTTTATTGAGTTAATTTAACCTTAAAACATCAAAATTCCTTAATCATTAACCATCTATCTTATTTCACGATATAACTCATTTATATTTATCTGATCTCAGATTTTTCTTTCTGTAATTTGAATACTTTTGTAATTTAAATTAGATTTTGTTTAAGTTTTTACAGTAACGTTTCCATGATTTTATACATTTCATTATACAATTAGGCTGTATTAGCAATTGGTTCTAAATACATCTATCTTATTTTTTAAGATTTCTTGTTATTTCAAAGAAAAGAACAGAGTATTATGCTGTAAAAAATATTTTTATAAAAGCCATAGTTTTTAGTAATTAAATATTAATCTAGTATAAATACTTAAGGATTTTTTAAGACATGTTCCGATCATGCTATTTCAGCTCTCTGTTTTCAGATACACTTTTTACTTTTCTTCATGTATGGTGTAATATTTAAGCCTTATTTAATTATTCGTTATCTATAACGGTTTTTTCTGTACGTGCTCAGCAACTCTTTGTTCTTTATTAAATTGTTTTTTATTGCCCTTATTATGTATTGCTTTCTGACATGTTGTATTTATTATTCTCGTATTCACCTTGCTCATTGCTATATTTAGGCCTTTATTTCTTTATTACTTGCTATCTACAACTTAATTCTTATTGCCTGCTATGCAGCTCTTTGTTCTTTATTACTCTGTCCTTTTGTTAGTTATTACCTTTTTATTTGTTCTGCTCATGTTTTCTCACACACTTTGTTTACTCCTCTTTTATTCTCCTTGTTCATTGTTATATTTAGGCCTTTATCTCTCTGTTACCTGCTATCTACAATTTATTCTTCATAACTTGCTATGCAACTCTTTATACCTTATTACTTTGTTCTTTATTGATTTTTTAAATGTTTTACTCTATTTTTCGATTTCCTCACATGCTTCATTTACTTTTCTTGAGGTCGTTTTCTCTTTGCCATATTTAGCTCTTTATTACTCATTTTTCATTATTGCTATACTGTGTTTTTTGTCCCTTTTGTCCCCTTATTACTTTGTTTTTTATTGCCTTTTATGTGCTCTAATCCAGTATTTTTTCACATGCTTTATTTTTTGTTCCTTAATACACCTTGCTTGTTTTTATAGTTTGACTTTAATCTCTCTATTATCTCTCTGTTATTTGCTATCTACAACTTATTTTGAATTGCTTGCTATGCACCTCTTTGTTTCTTATTACATTGTTCTTTATTGCCTTGTCTTTCACGCTTTATTTATTATTCTTTGTATCTTCCTTATATGTTGTTATATTTGATTCTTTATCTTGTTATTACCTGTTATCTACAGCTTATTCTTCATTAATTTCTATACATCTCTTTGTCCCTTACTGCATTGTTCTTTATTGCCTTATCTTTCAAGCTTTATTTATTATTCTTTGTATACTCCTCATATGCTGTTATATTTGATTCTTTATCTTGTTATTACCAGTTATCTACAGCTTATTCTTCATTACTTGCTATACAGCTTATTCTTCATTAAGCTGCTTTGTCCCTTACTACATTGTTCTTTATTGCTTTATGTTTCACGCTTTATTTATTTTTCTTTGTATCTCCCTTATATGTTATTAAATTTGAGTCTTTATCTCTATTTCACCTGTTATACAGCTAATTCTTCATTGCATGCTATGCACCTCGTTATTCCTTACTACATTGTTCTTTATTGCCTTATCTTACACTTTTGATTTATTACTCTTGTATCTCCCTTATATGTTGTTATATCTGAGCCTTAAAGAGCCATAAAGAACAATATCTCACTATTACCTGTTATCTGTAGCTTATTTTTTAATACTTGCTATACCATTTTTTGTTCTTCATTACCCTTGTTATACTATATTTTATACGTTCTACTTCAGTTTTCTGTTTTTTCTTTCCTTTCTGTTTTACACGCTTTACTTACTACTGTTGTATTCACCATATTTATCGTTATATTAAGGCTTTTCCCTCTCTATTACTTACTATTTATTTTTCATTACTGTACTGACTACTCAGCTTTTAGTTTCTTATTAAATTATTTCTTTTTGCATTTTTACATTCTTCTCTTCGATTAGCCATACTCTTCCTTAGACTGAAATGTATGAAGCAATGACATTTTAAACTTAGGTTATAAAATTATTTGTAGCATGCCAAGTTGATTTTATCGAAGTGTGATCGGCAATTTGGCACATTATTTTATGATTTCTCAAATTCTATGAATTGCAAGGTCAGTATGATACAGTTTGACACTTTTCAAAATGAAGAACATTATGCTTCTAAATTTTAATATGCATACAAATATATCGTGCCTCAATGTTAAAATTTTAATCATCATATTTAGCATAGAAAATTTTTAACATTAAAACTACTTTCTTATGGCTTTTTATTTTTTTTTAAACTTATAAACCGTAATTAGTAACGATTGTTAAGGGGTCACAGTACCCAAGAAATGACCAAAATATCAATATTTTTTTACTGCTTATAACAAAACGAAACTATTTCAAACGAACGGAAAAAAACCCATTTCTCTATCAATATTTTTAAAAAAAGTTATGAATGATTTGAAAATTGCCTTAATACAGAAACTTGATCAGCAGACAGACTTTAAAGTGCTTTTTCTCATCGATGGTAATTTTGTGTTTTAATCTTAATTAAATCCCTAAGGAATTTTTTCTACTTAAGATAAAGCTTTGGAGTAAACTTTTTTATCTTAAATATAATACACTTATTTAAACTGTGCATGGAATAGCATTTTATGATGTATTACAATTTTTGCAGCATGTTATATATACCAAACAGGAATTTTTAACTTTTTTTCTACTTTTTGGCAAAATAATCTATAAAAAATGCTCGAATTGATATATCAACAAATGAATGCATAAAATTGTTAAGAGGAATATTGTAAACACAAGGAAAGCAAATTGTTTTTGAAAATATGTTGAAATAAAAAGGCCATAAGGATTTAAAAATTGTGAATTTTTTAAATTTTTTTTTTAAATTTAAAAAAAAAATTAAACAGTTTAACTATTTTTTGAAGATAAATTATTGATTATAAGTTAAAGCAAGTAAAGCATCTATATAATACATGATTATGCCTGTATCTTTATTTTAAAAAAAAATGTTGCAAGGGTACTGTGATCCCATAAAAACGGCTTTTCTACGCTTTGGAGTAAGTATCTAGATGTTCGGAACAATTTTCAATCTTTGTTTTGGCACACTTTTTCTTTCTCTCCTTTGCTGTAACTTTGATATTTTTGCTCTTAACTCTACCACTGCTTATTGGAACCTTGACAACAATGCTGGACTCCTTGGTTTGAAGAGGTGTTAATCACAATTATTTTGGGTTCAGGACTAGGGTGTTGTACTACTACTACGTTTGGTCCATCAAACTGCCGCTTGAAACTAAAAATTACAAAAAAATAATAAGTAATAAAAATAGTCATATTATTATTGCATGTTATGCAATATTTACCACTTTATTAACCCTTTGACGCAAAATTTTCATTAAACATATTTTTCATCTTTTTTTTCATTATTTTGTATTAATAACTAAATTCAAACTACATTTTTTGAATTCTATATTTTGGAACAAATATAATTCCACGAATATCATAGATTTTCTATAATTAAATTACAACAAAATATATTTTTAATTGAAATTCGAGTTTCAGAAAAAAATATGTTAAAGAGACACTGGTGTGCCATTTGCGCCAAAGGGTTAAATACTTCATACTAAGGTTATGGTTTCAAAATATAGGCTTCGTAATAAAAAAATAAGAAATATTATTATTTATTATGTTTACTAATGTTATTATTATGTTTACTATGTTTACTAATCCATTTTAAATGTATAACTGAATTTTTTGAAGCGCATGGTAATCAGAGGGGGGAAAGGGTGATCGAACCTGATTCATATCAACACGTGTTCTGTTTAATTATTTTTAAGTACTTTTTTTTGTTTCACCTGGGTTGCAAAATAGTTTTTAATCCTACGGTCGGTAAATTCATTTGATCTGTTTATTGCTTACGTGAATATGATAACTTTGATAGGAAATGTTTGATATAAATTTAAATTCTATTTTAGATTCAAATAATAAAATTTTTTGAGAGTAAAGTGAATGAAAGTAATTCCTAAGATATCATTTTAGCTCGTTGCCAATTCATTTATACGTTTTTAACTAGGAATGTGTTAACAATTATTCAGCTCTTGTGTTTACGGTTTTAGTCAGAAATATGAAACTTTCATAAATCAACACCGAAACGTGATTCTCATGATAAAAAAAACCTGAAAAGGAATTGGAACGATATTTTTAACATGTAAAATGGTGGCATTAGACAGAGATGGGAAAAATAGTATTTTAGAATTTTCTATTCAGTTGAGTAATTCAATGCTACTGAAAACGATGGAAAAAAATAAAGCATTTTGACTTGTATGTTGCTTCTTGCTCTCTTCATTTCCGCCTGGCGTCGCCATTGTTAGTGTTCAGAAAGATAGCGCTTGAGAATCACTTTTAATTGAGAAAAAGTAGATATTGCTGTTTAAAAATTTCAAAATCCGGCACTGTAACCTTAACAAGTGCTAGCTGAATAATCGTTTTTAACACTGTTCGTGACATATGCAAATACAGTAAAAATAGTGTGACCACTTCTGTACAAAATCTTTGTAAACAATATTTCCTTTACTTGCAAATATTTTAGAAGATTTTACAAGGCAAAACTATTTACACAATTTGAAAGATCATGCTGGAAGCTTCTAGAAATTGGGTCATTTTTGTCCATGCAAAATTCGGACCGAACAGAAATGTAATACATATAAAGAAATTTATAATTTCTTTCTAGCTTTAATGCCATCAATTTTAAAATCATTATATAGGATTGAAATGTTTATATTAGAATGTTTTTAGAATTATAGTGGTATTAAGAAAAGAAAAAAGCTATTGGTTAGTCCAAAAAATTCGATCCGGTTTTTGATAGGAAGAACTCCCAAAGGTCCGCTAAAAATATTCAAGTATAGTAACAAACTACTCGTCAAAGCAATTTAAAGTTTTCCTAATTTCGCAACCTCTTCAATTTAGATAATATTCATCTAGTATGCATAAAATTTATGTAATAAGTTTCAATATATGCAATAAATTTCCAAATCTTTATGGTGACTAAGAATATGTAATTATCAATTTTCAAAAGCAAAAAAAAATCTATTTTTTAGTAAAAATTTTGCTGCCACTTGAATATTTTTCGCGGACCTTTCGGAGCTACGCTTATCGAAAATCGGCACGAATTTTCTGGATGACCCAATATTAATTTCCTACTCTCACTTTTGTTGATGCAAATTTTGCATGGGTAATTACTGTAACCCCATTACTGTTACCTTCAAACGTAATCTTTCAAAAGTTGACAATAGTTTTGCCTTGTAAAACAATTGCTGTCAAAAGAAAAAATGTTTACAAAGTGATAGTATAAAAGTTTTCTCATTATTTTGTCCCGTACCTTGGAATACTTCATGCAACATTTCATCCCGTCCTCTCAAACGGCATTTTCGCAAAGTTTTCATATTTTAGCAAATATATGTGCAATAACCGGGTAATTACTTTTTTCTCTACAAATTTTTCTCTCAAATTTCTACAAAAGTGTATCTAAATGAATATTTTTTTTCAGTCGCTATACTATATTTCATTTTAAAAAGTAATAAGTCCTCGTACCTACCCATTTTGATTAGACTCCTTGCGGTTGGCAGAGAAGCTGAAAAATGTTGACATTTTGATATTTTAGTAAACGGTCACGGTTTGATGAGAATTTATTTCATATTAATTTTGCAATGTTAAGGAAACAAACATTTTAATTAATCTCTTTAACGATCAATAATTATTGCGTCGCAAATATGTTCAAATGCTGTTACGAATTGGAGAAATGTGGGTAATTTTAAATCAAGTGAGTAATTTTTATGTTTACTAACACTTACGCTTTAAAAATTGCAATTCATTTATTACCGATCCAATTTAGAAGCTGCATATGTCTAATTTATCGCTGTTTTTTTTTTCAAGATAAGAACTTGTAAAGGAATAACTAAGGATAGGTAGGTACTTTATTTACGTTGCACTAGAGCTGCACAATGGATTGTATGCGACCGTCTGGGTAACATCCCTGAAGATAATCCGAAGACATGCCATTGCAATTTTGTTCCTCTGAGGAGGGGATGGTTCCTCTGCTTTGGTAACCCGATGACCTGCTCGCGGAGACGAACACTTTACAGTAGAACAATTTAAAGAGGACCGATATCGCGCACCCACTCTGTCCCTTCGTTGGTACGCAGGTGGATCAAAGTGGTCACCCACCCGCTTGCTGACCGCAGCTAGTGATGCTTGACTTCGGTTTTCTACTGGGAACCTTGTTTTTATGATCAGTTCTCGGCAGAACCCGAATAAGTAAGGAACTGATTTTAATCTATGTTAAAAAAATCGTAAGTGCCGCCACTGTTTTGATTATTTAACTAAAATTTACATGTTATTCCGCTGTATAAAAACTATAACATTTTGAAAAATGTGCATGGGTTACATGGGGTATAATAAAATTAGTATCCGATGGTTAAATAGATAATTATTATCTATCAAACTTGTGGTAAAAAGTACCATACGGTAAGTATGGCACGGTAAGTATAGTATTAAAAAGTACTGCAAGCCACAGGAATTCACCTTGTTTTGTTTATGAATTTAGCGATCTTTTTTATATTCAAATTAGTTTTACAGTAACTGATTGCACTATTTAATATTTTTCGCGAATGTTTTCTCGCTTCTTTTCGCTATGCTGAAGAAAAAAAAACGGCTTTATGACAAATCCTATTTAAACTACACATCGTAATTTAAAGTATAGAAAAGAAGTGAGTCCACATAAACCAAGAGTAAACCCTGAAGTTTCACACGCTGAAAAAAATTCAAAATATCAAAATGCGAACGCTTTATGAAAGAATTTCGCAGTAGAGAAGTGATCATACCACAATTCGTTTTGCTTTTTGATATTTTGAAGAAAAATTCTCTTTTCACCATTTGAAACGTATTGAATTTACTCTGGGTTTACCTAAACTCTTTTTTTTCTGTACTTTAATTTTTAAATTACTTTTTAGAATATACTTTAATTTTTAAATTACTTTTTAGAATGTACTTTAATTTTTAAATTACTTTTTAGAATATACTTTAATTTTTAAATTACTTTTTAGAATATACTTTGATTTTTAAATTACAAAAAAAACATTATTTACATTTAATTTTTAAAACACTTTTTAGAATATACTTTAATTTTTAAATTACAAAAAATAGAATTCACTTTTAATTTTGAAATTTAGAATATACTTTAATTTTAAGTTACAGTCGGTAAAACAGAATTTGCCATGAAGCGTTTCTCCCGCACTATATCACACTCTTATCCAATTACATAAGTTATTGGGTAATTTTTTTCCCTTACTTTTTACTCAAAAATATTTTATGCTATACTTTGTCTGATAAGTCTGTCTAGTCTCTTGCTCTCTTTATTAAACAATGGGTCAGTTTCTTCGCTCTTAGCCTTAGGAGCTACTGTTCTGACGATACAGTTCGAAAACAATCTGAAAAGTTTTATCGGTTTTCATCTTAAGAGAAGAGTGGATATATTCCTTTCTTGCCTTTTTGTTATAAATAAACGATTCTGTGTCGAATTCAAATGATTTGAAATCAAACTTTCAATTTTAATACATATTTACAACAATGCACCGACAAGAATTTTGTCACTTTTTTTATCAAATTACAAATTTATTTAAAATGTACATTTGTAAACTTAGAATTTGATTGTTGTATTTAAATTAGAACTATCAAATCAAATTCAGTTGGAATGCTCCCAAAGCTTGTAAAAATGTGTATTTTCTTTTAAGATTTTAACTTATTTATTGTAGTTAAATTTTCTGACAGAAATACTTGGATTATTGACAACAAAAAAATTATTATTAAAAAACGGAATAACAACGCCATGTGAAATTTATGAATTGCATGTATCTAAAATTCAACAATTAAACGATAGACTACTTAAAAGTTGAAGAAACTTGAGCGGGCTCCAAAACCTGTGTGCCCTGGAACAAACCCCTTCTTTCACTCGATTTTTTGCTTTCATTTGATTGAGTAGGCAATATTCCAATCCTTTCATTCAGAGTCGTGATGGCTCAGGAGATCCAATGAAATAAACCGGGTTCGAATCCCAGCGATGGCTGGTCGATACGAATCCGCATGTGGCTTGCACAGACCACAGTGCTGAAGTGAAATATCCTCAGTGGTAGACGGATCATGGGTTAGAGCCCTCTTGCCGTCAGGCTAACTGCGGGAGGTTCTCATGGTCTTCCTCTCCATGTAATCTAAATGCGGGTGAGTTCCATCAAAAAGTGAAGTCAAATTTCTCCCAATACTTGATCGTGGAGTTTCCTTGTCTTCTGGATCGGGTTCAAAATTACAAGGCTACTGAATTTGAACATTACGGATTGAGTCGTAAACCAAAAAATTGGTTCGGCTGTCCAATGACGGTTTTAAAATAAAATAATCTTTTCATTCTGTGTCTCGGAACTGATGTATTCAACGATTAACTACGACTAAAACGACTGCCTGAGTTTTTATTTTGTGCTTTTTGCATTGATTTCTACGGTTCTGCAAAGAAATATTGGTGAAACTTTTGTTAAATTTTCTTACCCTGAGAATAGGTCTCTCACCATATTCATAGAAAAAGGTATAGGTATAGGGATCATTCTAGGTGGACCTCTCATCATCATCCCCATACTAGCTCCATGAAGCAGTGCTTTCATCATGAAATCCGAATGATGAGCATCTACTAAAGCAATCATCATTAACAGACTTATGGCTGTATATTTATATGCTAACATCTTCGACGTCTGTAACGAGAAAAACAGAAAAAGTTAATCTATATATATCAAAAACAAAACCCTCTCTCAAAAAGGCAAAATTCTCTTTTTTATCAGAGAGATAGAACGCAAAAATTCAGATCAAGTGCTCTTTATGAGATAAATAGAAAAACTAAACATGTTTATTTTTACACTTTGGAATTATTTGAGTAGTTAAAGAGTAATTAGCCTAATTAACAATAATGCTAAATAACACGCCTTAACCATGATAGAAGTCTGAAATCGGGGTCATGTGTTAATTATCAGATATAAAGAGAAACTAAAAAAAAAAGTTTCATTTCGATATTTTGTAATTATCTGGATAATTAGCTTAATTGATATCACAAATAAAATGATAACTATGCGCAGTAGTTTAATTTAGTTGAAAAAGAGAATTTCAATGACAATATAGACTTACAGGGGTTGGAAAAAAATTATGGACACTTCTATACTTACTTATTTTTTCATATTTCTCAGAAATACTTTGAGAATTACTTTAAAACTTTAGAAGTGTTAAGATTATGCGAATTCTCAGACATATCAATAAAGTTTAAAGGTTTGAGAGACCGAGAATAAATTACGAGAGAAAAAGAATGTTTTTAAACACCCTATATCAAATACACTAGCAATTTCTATCAAATAATTGGGTTAATTTATCCAATAACTGTATAAAGTTTCGTAAACCTAGCTTAAATATTCATGGAAATATGAATATTCTTACAAAAACGATTATTTATATTTACTATTATTATTATTATTATTTATTTTATTTATATTTATTATTATTATTATTTATATTTATTATTTTTTTATTTACACTTTCTGATTATTACTACGGAAATATTCCATAAAATTAAGCAAACTTTTTAGAGTAATTCTTAAATAATAATGAAAAAATCGTTTTAAAATTTGAAAAAAACTTTTAAAAATTGCACTAAGTATGAGTACTAAAGTATTTTTTTCATAGTACGCACTCCCAAAAAACATTAAAAATAGTTTTTCTTCATAATTTTCCTTTGAATCGTATTTGATTACTTATAAAAGGCCAATTTTAAATATCTTGGAATTGTAAATTGCCATTAGCAATTTAGCAAGTAGCTTTTTTATTGAACAATAAGGGGTTTTTCGCGAATTTTATTATACAATAAAATTTAACAACGAATGATACTTTTCTAATATGATGGTTTGGACAGCAAAATGTGATGGCGTTACGTCAGTTAATAGGAACTCACTTAATAGGGTGAGGTCATATATAATGAGGATATCATTTTCAATATATCTTGTTTAATAATTTTTGGAAAATCATTTTCAGGTTTAAATTTGCAAAAAAATTGAGAGAAACTTCTATAATTTTCAAGATATTTAAATCACAATTGTTTCATAAGTATACAAATACGATTCAGAACAAAATTATGAAAAAATTTTTAATGCTTTTCGTGCTTGCGAAGTATGAAAGAATGGCTTTAAATGCTCATATCTTTTGCAACTTTTAATAATTTTAAAATTATTTTTTGTTATTATATTTTCTTGTATATTAATTAAAGATTACACGAAATATTTTTTTTTGTTTTATTGAATATTTCTGTAGTTATAGTAGAATAACGTAAGCCAAAAAAGATTAGCTTTTCGTAAAGAAGTCCATATTTCATAAATATTTGAGCTATGTTTACGAAATTGTGTGAAGTTATTGCATATGATAGCTGAAGTAGTTGATGCAAGTTACAAGCTTACTGCTGTATAGGCTGTTTGGCATAGAATATTTAGAGGCACTATTTTTTGTTCGTAGTATATTACCAGTCCCTCGAACCTATAAACGCTTTAAACTTTATTGATATGTCTGAAAAATCGCATCGTATTTCTTGAGAAGTATGAAAAAATGTGTTAGTATTTTTGTCCAATCCCTGTATGTCACGAATGCTAATTATCTTCTAACGTATACATAATTGCCAACTTTTCTGTATTTACCAAAATTTTTAATATTTAAAGTGATATCAAAATTAGGATTCTATAACTGATATCTGGTTTAATAAATTTGATTTTAAAAAAATTCGAGCTCATTTTAACAACATCATTTAGAAATGTCTTAATACATAAGGTCTAATAAATTTTTGATGGAATATTTAACTAATGACGAAGTTTAAACTAATACAGTAGTTAATTATTTTTTTACTCATATTACTACCACTAGAAAAAAACTTTTATCTGAGAAAGCAAATGTTGGCAGCTATGTGATGCATTACATCTGCACATTACTCTTCTTATACATACTCTCCAACTACAACAGAATTTCCATATATTTTCAAAATATTTTTTCATGTGGTGGTAAAAGTAATGCATCAATAATTTAATAAAAACAGTGATTGCTATTTTAACAATGATTTGGTCCGTATAGATAAAAGTAAAGGCGGTAAAATTTTGTGTATGCTTTTATGAGTTAAGTAATTTTAACACTAGATTGCCATAGGAAGTCATTGTGACTGCTTTTATTTTTAATTAGAAAAACAATGATGTATAATAATGACACAATTTCTTAGAATTTTGTACAACATACAATTTTTTTATTGTAAGAATTTACCAATAACTTGTTATATAACTGTAAATAATATAAAAAAAATATTAAAAATTAATTTTCAACAAATTTCTTTACACTTTATTTATTCTTTTACAATCCAGTCTATTTGACTGCTTTTGGGCAATATAGATATGTACTAAGTTTCAGTCTTTCTAGTGTTAAGGGAGGTTGTTTTGTTGATATACGGAGACATTCTTGTTACAGTTTGTCTATAGAAAGAGCCCCCTTAGCTACAAAGTCTAAGGCCGTCTGCTGCTATGAAAAGAAGAAACAGCGTATTTCAAAGAGGTGAGCTTCTTTATCCTCTGATGCCCTTTCTCTCTCCAACCCGAACGGAAACCAATCAAATATCGACCCAACACCTCTTTTTGAAATAGTTAAGCCTCGTAACCATAGTTACCGCAACTTATCCAGACGAATGGCGAGGGGAGTTCTTTCCATAGACGAACTATAACTTTCACTCTTTCGAGAACAATTTTTTGAAGTAGTAGTAAAGCGATAACCAAATTACAATCATAAGCAAGAATATATATATTTTTTATTTTGTCAGAGTTTCCATTGTTATAGTACAAGGTGGCCACAATTTGGAAAAAATTAAAAAGTGGTAAAAATTCGACAATACAAACTGTTTTAGCTTTATCTCGCTACCAAGAATATATATGAAATACCCAAATATGACGTCCAACTTGGGCAACTTACAAAATTTTCTTGTACAGAGTATAAACTTTGATGGTAACCAACCCGAATGCACAGTACAACTGTATATAAATATTCTAATTCTTTATCTCTTCCTTTAATCCTAACACCATAATTAGTTTTAGCCCCAGGGTGGGTTTTTACCAGTAAAAACCACTGATAAATACTAGTAGCCCATGTATATTTACTGACACATATAGTTATTTGTTATCAATATCAAACTGTTAGAAATATATTATTGCCATATTATAGCTAATATTAAGAACTATTAAGTAATGTATATTTATATGTATATGAGCAAATAACAAACAATTGGACAGGTGATATAATGTAAGCTTTCTCTTAAATTGTAATTGTAAAACAAATTTTTCACATAACCAGTTGAGGTAAATCTTCTCACTATTAAAAACTTAGAAAACTAATACTAGCTAATAACAATTAATTAAATATTAAAATCATATTTACAAATTGCATTATTATATACCATTACTTTACAGATGCATTTATATACAGAAAATAATTGAATAACTAGAAAGCTCAAACACAAGATTTTGGAATTTTATAAAAAGAATTAAATATTAATAAGAATTTCTTTTTCTTTCTCCTTTCCTCACAAAAGAATAATTGGAACGTTAAAAAAATATGCAGTAGTGACAAAGATATTGTTATATAAGGATTTATCTTACCAATCTTTTGTCATTTATTTTTATAAAATTAGATTAGGATAAAATAATGTTACTTTGCGTGAGCATTTGTAAGGACAAAATTATTCAAAATCGTCATTTAATCATGTTAAAAGTATAAAAAGTAAGTTTATATATGAAGATTTTAAAAATCAGAAGAACAACAAAAATGAATATCAGTTAGAATATCATTAGAAATCAGGCTAAAAATGCTATCAAGTTGTGAGACCAGACCACTGACAATATATTAATGCACTAATAATTAATTTTGGTCAAATGTTCGAATAAATTAAAAATCCATATACGATAAATATTAAAAAAATACCCATGCCAAAAAAAGTCTTATAGTGGTTAAAGAAAAAGATCAGAAGATAATACAAAAAAAAATATCAGTCCAAATCAAGACAATTTTAGTGTAAAATATTATTTAAAAAATTAGAGCAAGAAAACCAAGATGAAGAAAAACCAACTATGAAGTTATAATTTGCAAAATTAAACACCTATTTAAAAAGTTATAATTTATAGTTTGCTTAAATTTTTTTTCCAACTTTTTCAAAACTGGTAAACTAAAATTTTATTCCAAAGATTGGATAAAAAATTTTTGAAATTTCAGAATGACCTTATACTATAAACAAATACATATTCATATAAATTTGTTCCTATCATATTTTTAATATTTAGACTGCTGAAAAAATTACATTATTTTGTGGTTAGCAGACTTAAAATAGTTTTTATTAAATTTGATAAAAACTAATCCTTTAAATAGTTCAACTTAACATAGTTTTTACATAGGCATACTTAAGAATAAAAAATATATTTAACCTTCTGCTATTTTCGATTATAACACACTCATTTAGCGTAAACATTATTTATTAATACTTTTTAAGAATTAAATTCATTGTTGCAAATACAATACAAGATTGATTAAAAAACACAAGTAGTCATAAGTAAGTACACATACTTAATGCTAAATATCATTGTTTTCCGTTAATCCTGTATTCTCTTCCAAACACTACACTTCAACTAACATTAGAAC